AGCAAAGTGAAAGAAAAACTGAAAATTTGATTTTACATAATAACTAATGAATATTTTTTTTTTGTGACTGAGGTGTTTATTTTTTCTTACTATTCCGATAAAACTTAAAATAAATAAAAGATATAAAATAAAACTTCGATGCATTATACATTTCTGAAATCTTCGATAACTGGACAATGATTTAAAAATACATTTTATGAAAGAAATACACTTTTATTTTTTTTCAAAATCAAAAAATGTATCACTCAGATTGTCGGTAGAAAAGTAGAACGCCCCAGATATTTTTTTCTTCTTACACTCACACTTGTGCTTGGCTCCTCGTCAGACGACTTTAACTTTAACTTAATGATCTGATTTTGTAGGCACTCTTTAGGTTAGGTACTCTCTCTTCAAAGCTATGAAAATGAAAATTAATGATAAAAAAAAACCCGATTTCCTGTTTATATAGACTAGACAGGTAAATTCCCGAGCGGGAAGCCCCTTAATAACATCGAACTGTAGGATACAAGGGTATTCCCCAAAATATATGGAACATTCCGCACTAGGTTCATACTATTAGGGACTTCTCAGTAACATTAAACATAAATGAAAAGGGTAGCCAACTTAAAAGTGTAAAATCGGTAGAAAAATCGGGAGAATTTCCATGTATACTCTGAAATCGTAGAAAAATCGTTATATTTCGGTAGAACAGAGTCCATATCGGTAGAAATACCGAAAACTCGGTAGGTTCGAGACCACTGGTTTAGCCCGCGCTTAAAATAAACAACTGTTGAGTCGTAAGCTACGTTTCGTTCCTTGAAATAATAATCTATACTAATATTATAAAGCTGAAGAGTTTGTTTGTTTGTTTGAACGCGCTAGCTAGCACTAGCATTTGGCACTTTCTCATGTAATTGTGGTATATTGTTCAGTAATTCATAAAATTGAATAGCATTCAGACCAATCCAGTAATAACATAAGTTAGGTTGAATCATGTGGACATGACTAAAATTAATTTGCTTTGTTGACAGTCTTTCCAACATAGCCAGTAGGTTATCCATTTGAGCCCCAGTGAAATCAGAATAATTTACTTGTAATTCATCCCAGCAATCATTGTGTAAATGAAAGTTACAGATCCGAGCACTCTGAGGAATATAAATTCGATAGCGACTTAAGACTTCTTCTTTCAATGCTCTAGGTATTAACAAACGTTCTATATTGCCACAGTTAGAAAAAACACAATGCCTTGTTGAAACGGCTACACGTTTATAGGTCTGTGATATTATTTTTGGCCCTTGTTGCCTTCTTTGAGGATGGTATAGGTTGTGCTGAGGTAATGGTGGTGGATTAGGAATATGTACAGCATTATCTTCCTCATCAGGCACGGGTACATCATTATTATGTACAGGTACTTTCACATCAGGTACAACAACTTCCATAGTAAGTACAGGTCCATCAGCATTTGGTTCAAGAAATTCAGCACTGGGTACAGGTACTTGAGAGTTCTCAACTACAGGCTCATCTTCAGCATGCATTATATGATTAGCATCATGTTGCAATTGCTGTTGTATGGTTCTTTTTGCTGCCATCCAACATGCTCTGCATACTCTATCCAAACACCGCATCTGGACAAGAAAGATTAATAGTTAGAGATGGTTTTAAGTTACAGTTATGATTATTCTCCTATGAGATATATAATAAAAATTGAACATCTATTATTGAGTAATTTAATTTTTATTTATTTGAAACAAAATGATATAAATTTAATTAATACACGCTCTTTCGGTTAACGACTGACGTTTTATTTTTTGCATCAAAGACATTACATGAATAAATCAAAGATGGCGCTACTGGTCTTACAGAAACATTTTGGTATACAATTATAACACCCCTACTTAACAAAATATTTCTAAAAAATAACTCAAGTAACAATTAAAAAACTTAAATTTTAATTAGGAACAAGACCTATCATTCCTAAAAATTTATAATGCTTTGCTGATAATAAACCCTTGGTTAAGAGATCAGCAGGCATATCTAGAGTTGATACATATTTCACATGAATTACATTATCCTTTATAGCATCTTTAATATAATGATAATGCACATCAGTGTGCTTAGTCTCTAGTAGTTCAGAGACTGGTGATTTGAAGATAAGGTCAATGCACTCTGATTATCACAATGCAACTTAACAATGCTTAATTTACCTGTTATTTCATACAACAGATTTCTTAAATATGTAGCTTCCCTAGCCGCCTCCGACAATGCCACATACTCAGCTTCGGTACTGGATAAGGATACAGTTTTCTGCTTCCTGCTTTGCCATGATATAACAGAACCAGCCAAAAGAAAGCAGAAACCAGTGTAGGATTTCCTGTCTAAAACATTACTTGCCCAATCGGCATCTACAAAACCTTCTAATTCTATATTATTATCTTTGCTATATTTCAAACAATAATGTTTAGTTTTTTGTAAATATTTCACCACTCTCTTAGCTTGATTAAAATGAGTTTCATTATAGCTATTATTAAATTGACTTTGGTAACTAATGGAATAAGCTATGTCCGGCCTAGACAGAACAGCTAAGTACATCAGACTACCTATCAGTCTTTGATAAGGAACATCTGTTAAACAATTTTCAGCCTTTCAACTTACATTCTATAGGAGTATCACTAGATCTACAATTGAACATTCCAAATTTATGTAACAACTGTTCTATATATTGTTCTTGATCTATTTTTACAGTATTTAATTTTCTGTCTACATGCACTCTCATGCCTAAATAGCGTTTTACACAACCTAAATCTTTTATCTTAAATTCTGAGCTTAAAACAGTTTTCAAATTATCAGTTTCCTCTTTACAGTTTGAAAAATCAGAAATCATCGACATAAACAGCTACAATTATTTTAACATTCTCACTAACTTTTGTAAATAAACATGGTTCATTGCTACTTATTTTAAAACCCAATTTACATAAACAATCTTTAACTCTCTTATACCACATTAAGGATGATTGTTTAAGCCCATATATTGCTTTCTTAAGTTTTAAAACCTTGCCAAAGCAACAAAAAGTTGCAACTCAAAGAAGCCATTGAAGAGAAAAGACGGGGAAAATTGACAAAAGGTGTGTTGCTTTTGCACGACAACGCGTCCGTCCACAAGAGCCGCGTTGCGTTGGCTGCCCTGCATAAGGTGGGCTTCGATATTTTGAATCACCCACCCCACAGTCCAGACCTGGCCCCCAGCGATTATTACCTGTTTCCAAAAATGAAAAAAGAGCTGCGGGGTCAAAAATTTACCAACGATGATGAAGTCAAGGAGGCAGTTTCGGCGTATTTTGAAGACAAAGAGAAAACATTTTTTTATGAGGGTATAAACAAATTAATTGAAAGATCTGAAAAATGTATCCGTCTTGCAGGTAAATATATCGAAAAGGAAAAATAATTTGGTTTTTTTATTTCCACCCCTTATCGCCCGTTCCGCGAACATAAAAACGCTCCCTCGTATTAGGTCTTTACCTATGAAATTGCCGTTTTGTATGCAATAAGTGAAAGTACTTATTTTTTCAAACTTTTTTATTTCTGTTATTCGAAGTAATCATCCATGCAATCGACGCATCTTTGCCAACGCATTGACAGTTTATTGGTGCCCTTCTTGTAAAAATCAGCTGGACGGGAGGCAACAAACTCTTCAAAGGCATTTTGTACTGCCTCTCGGAATTGAATTTTTTACCCACTAATAGTCGGTAGGTGCAAGGTTTTATAAGTAATCGCTGATGGTTTACGCGCGGTGCCTGGATTTTGACATAAAAACACTTAACAGACTTCATAGTGCTCTGCAAAATATGATACGCTTCAGTCGCATTAGTAATATCATGAGTCATGACCATATGATACTCTTTTGTCAAGTTGTCTTTTCACGGATCCTCCGATGCCATCTGCCATCGGAAAAAGACCAAGTTGAATACGCTAATTTCAATTTCTGCGAAAACAAGTTGAGCAAATATATTTTTTTCTTTTGCCGGTACTGTGTGCTGGGACCGTCCGAAAAAAAGTGAATTATTTTGGTGTTCGGGAATTCCTCTTTCGCAAGTTTTAAGGCAGGCTTAAGGTGTACCCAGATGGCATTAGGTTCGTGGCAATTATCATCTGACATTGTGACAAACGACTGCAAACGTTCTTTTCCAAGAATAACGCCACAATGCAGAGTGATGGAGTTTTTAGATGCACCAAAGTGCATCGATTGAATTTCTTCCTTGTATTTACATTCCTAGTTCTCAGAGAAATCACATAAAATACTTATTTCTTCGTCTTTCATGTTAGTGACACAAACTCGATACTGGCGTTGCTGTTCTTTCCAGTTAAAACAATGCGTTTTAACTGTAGGTAGTTCTTTTTCGAGCTCCATGAGTAAGTCTCGTATAGTGTCTTTTATTTGCTGCTTTATGGTCTTTTTCGTTATCATCTCTTGGCCTGCTTTTTTATACTTATGAACCACTCTTTCCCATTTAAACCAAGTAACTTCGCCTTGCGATTTGTCTTCATGGTATTGAATTCTTGGAATTTTGCACTATTGACATTTGTTGTACATGCAGCTCGGTAGTATTCTTATGAGGCATGATTCCTTTGAGTTTCAAAGCATCAAAGATGAATTCTATATTACTGTGTTTCATACACATGCATGTATTTCTGGTCATCACATTTGGTGATAATATATAATAAGGCTTGTACCTAAAAAACGAAGTGAAGCTATATTTTCCACCTTCATCCTTGTAAATTTGATAAAGATTTTGCAAAGTGTCGACTAGGTATCTGATTTGCACTTTCTTTTTGTTTTTAGTCCTCGTTTCTCGTTTACCAGCTGAGTTTCTACTAATGTCATCTCGAACATAAAACTTTTCTAACTCCTCCGCGATGTTCTCGTTCAAGGGTTTCCTTTATAACTGGCTTTTCTCACTTGAATTTTGAGGCCTAGATATTTGCGTTCGGGTTTTTTTACATAAATTTTTCACCTATTTTTAGCGTTACTTTTTAATAATTCTTTTCTCAGCATCTTTCTTGCAATCTGTATATACTTCTCGCATTGCCACCTCCATTACTTCTTGTCGGGCTTTGAGCTTCTCATTTTCTGTTTGCAGTAAATTTATTTCCTTTTCGTGCAGCTTTTTGGCTCGGTAAAACTTCTTCCTTAAATTTTGTATTGCTGTTTTATATGTATCAATCTTGTTTAAAGCCGTCTTGTAATTTTTACTTAATTTTTTATGTTTGATTTTAAATGAATTACAAACTGGTTTCAATTGCAAAACTTGTATTAAAGTGTTATCTGCTATAGTTGATTATTGTGCTGCTGCTGGTGCCTGCTTTGTCTTTTTTTTCTCTTTTTGATTGCGTTTTTGTTACCTCCATCGTTTTCTTTTAGCGTTTTTTTGGCTCTTCGGTTAGCTCATTTATGTGTTTAGTGTGTTTCCTCAGTCTTTTAAGCTCCTTTTTTTATGAAGTTCATGCTTTTCAGGGTCTTGTTTAATTTGTTCCCTATATTTTTTGGATCGCTCTGCAGCCGTCAATGCCATGGTGAGTTCTATAAACAAAATTGCTAGCTTTATAGAGACCCGTATGATTTGTGTTATATAAGTAAATAACAATAATTAATTTCAAACTTATGGCCATGGGTTCGAATCCCTGCCCTGCCTAATCCTATCGATATTTCTGAATACGATATATATATATAACTATTTATAAATTATCTAAATTTATTTTATTGTTACTTAACATAAATCAAAATGATCCCAAACACGGCCAACCAACTATTTTCCATCTATATGGAGTCCATTTCGAGAACTTGAACTATGAAAAAATCTACTAGTAAGATTTGTACCACACACATACAAATAAAGTAAACTGTTATTCAAAGTTTCTTTTTTCTAATAAAGTCAACATATTTAGTGCAATTACACATTTAGACACAATGTAAGCCATGCCTAATAATTCCACTACGTCACATTTGGAGTTCCACTAATACAAAACGTTGCGTAGTGGATGTGACGTATGATGCCGGAATTGAAACAAACTCCGAAATGCAGCTGTTTAAATATGATTTCACTAAATATCACATTGAATTGAGATTCTAGATGTTGGTACCCATGAAAAGCTGTAAGTCAAACAATCAATACTTACATTATAGAGACAGGATCGTAGTGGAAAATAAAAATAGCACGCTGTGACGCCCGACCACTATTTCACGTTAAATGCGACTGATGTCAATCTAAACAAACATGGCGACCTTTGACGGCCTAAATTGTTGCCAAGAATCAAAATCAGTACCTACTTAGTTTAGAAACATTTTTGTTTAAAATCAGTATATCGACGTAGCGTATGCGGAATTTTCCACCAATGTCGTTTTGAGTGACAAAATAAAACCAGTATTGTATGTTATTTGAACTCCAATACGCTGTAAATTAGGAATATTATTGAATCTGGATCATATAATCCTTCCAAATAACATAAAATTCTTGAACAAACGTAGCTTACAAAGGGTATTTTTCGTTCAAAAAGTGTGCAAAAGGAGCATAGGATACTAAATAAATCATCTCTTTTCTTTCGTATTTTTCCAATATTTAAGCAAAATAAACAGATTTAAGTATTTTTGCATATGTAAATAATCAAGTTTTAATTTATTCTGTTGTTTTGAGATATAAAAAAAAAACAAGTTTTAAAATCAATGGCCTGCAGAAATAGCTTGAAAGTCATAGGACATGTAATTTTCGAGTAAACATTTTATTTGAAAACCACCAATCTACTCTAATTTTAACATTTTACAGTTCTTCTCAAATAAAAGCTTATTCAATGGCTTAGTACAAATATCTGCTACTTGATCCTGTGAAGATATATATTTAATTTCTATTATACCCTCTTCAACCTTATCTCTAACAAAATGATATTTAAGATCAATATGCTTAAGGCGCTTATGTTGTTCTGGGTTCTTAGATATATATATTGCCGACTGATTATCCTCTAGAATTACAATTTTCTCACATTTTAAATGTTATTTATGCAATAAGTTTCTAATCCAACATCCTTCTGACACTCCCTTACCAAGAGCAACATACTCCGCCTCAGTCGTTGACATAGACACACATTGCTGTTTGGAGGAACACTATGACACTGAACATCCATAAACTTTCATTATGTACCCTGAAGTAGATTTCATATCACTGGTATCCCCAGGCTAATCAGCATCTGTGTAACCTAATAAAACTTCATCATTTAAATATTTATAAATAAGTTTTAACTCTAAGCTTCCCTATATATATCTAAGCACTCTCTTTAATGCCTTCCATACACTCTCATTTGCATTTGATTGATACCTAGCTAAATAACTTATAGCAAAACAAATATCAGGTCTTGACCCTAACATGGCGTACATTAAACTACCTATTAGACTTCTACATCTCATTATCAAACTCTTATCCCCTGATTCCTTGTTATCAATCTGGCTCAATAGGAGTCGAAACTGGTTTACATTGATCCATATTATACTTCTTTAATACATCTTCTAAATAATCCCTTTGATCTATCTCAATCCTGTCTTTAGCTTGGTTGATGTTTAGTCACAAATATTTTGATATTTTCCCCATATCTTTCATTTCAAAAGCTTCTTTTAACGATTTCTTTAATTTGTCTATTTCTTCCTTATCTTCTTCTACGAGAATCAAATCATCAACATATAATAAAACATAAAACTTTCTGCCATTTTTATAGTACAAACAGTAATCGGACTTGGTATTTTTAAACCCTTCCTTTAACATAAATTCATTGAATTTTTGATTCCATTTTCTTGGTGATTTCTTAAGTCCATATAATGATCGGTTTAATCTAAGAACTTTATTATTCTTCTCCATTCCTTCAGGCTTCAGTAAAAAGACTTCTTCTTCGATATTTCCTTTTAGAAAGACACTCTTTACATCCATTTGTTCTATGAATAAGTTATACCTATTTGCGATAGCCAGAAGTATTCTTAATGTTGGTAGTTTAGCTACGGGTGAATAGATTTCTGAATGATCAATTTTTTTCCCTTTGTTGAAAGCCTCTCACTACAAGTCTTGCTTTGTATATATAGTCTTCTTGACCCTGTTTCCTTCTCAAAACCCACTTTGTCTCAATAGGTGTCTTATTGGGTGGCAAATCAACTTCTGTCCATGTATGATTTCTTCTCAAAGCTGCCAATTCTTCTTCTATAGCTCTCTTCCATTCATTAGATTCTTCACCTTTTATTGCATCTATAAATGTCAATAGGTTTTCATTTAAAACTGTAAAACTCGTGTCATAGTCTTCAAACCATCTAGGTTTTCCTATTTTCCTCTTTCCTTGGTCTCCTTTTGTTATATCCTTCTTGTTTGTTTTTACAGTTTGGCTTTCTGTTTCCTTCTTTGTATGTTCTTTCATGTTCTCCTTCTCTTTGTCACTGTTTTCACTATTTTCCTTACCTGTTTCATATTCTTCCTCTTCAATTTCATTATTTGTCTGTTGATTTTCCCTTCCTATATCATCATTTTCTCTCTTCTGAGAATTATATTGAGTATTTTCTTTCTCCCCTTGAAAGTCATCTTGAGTATTCTCTCTCTTCTCTTGAAAACTATCTTGAGTATTTTCTCTCTCCATGCTATCATTTTTACCTTTACCTTCCATAAAATTCTCATCATATTTCAAGATATCATTTCTTTCTTCACTCCCACTTATAACTTCCTTGTCTGATGGTTTTGTAAACACGATATCTCTAAATGTGTCCTCTATATTTGTGTTATGAAACCAAACTCTGAATCCTTTTGTATTCTGTCCAAATCCCACAAATACTCCTTTTCTACTCTTCGCATCCCATTTTAACCTTCTTTCTTTTGGAATATGTACATATACTTCTGTCCCAAAAACCTGAAGCACGTTGATATCAAATTCTTTCCTATATAATAACTCATATGGTGTCTTACTTCAACTTTACTCATGCCCGTTCTCTTAATGGTGAAAGTAGCTGTGTTGATCGCTTCCGCCCACAATTTCTTACCCAATCCTTTTGCTTGAAGCAATGTTCGCGCTGACGCAACAATAGTTCTCATTTCTCTTTCTGCCCTACCGTTTTCTTCTGGTAACTTATATATAATTATATAACTTACTGTCGTTTGATATATTATTCCTCTATTTTCAAAAAACTTTTGTACGTCCCTGCATACAAATTCTTTTCCATTGTCGGTTCTAACCTTTTTAATTTTATAATTTGTTTCTTGTTCAAAAAGTAAAACATTTTTTTTTAATTTTCTCAAAAGTTTCTGACTTAAACTTCAAAAAGTGTACAAACCTAAAACTGCTATAATCATCTTTAATTAATAAAAAATATTTAGCTCCCTCTAAGGAATTAGTCTCCATCGGCCCACATATATCCATATGAATTAACTCACCTGGTTCTTCTGACCTACTAGAACTTAAACTCGCAGGTTGTCGTTGTTGCTTACCCATTAAACATCCTACACACTGTTCTCTATCCCCTTTATATTTAATTTTATATTTATCTAAGATACCTTTCACATATGTATAGTTTTGAATCAAATCTCAAAACCGAGTGAGTGATCACTTTACCAATCATTGGATCATAATACCTGACCATTACAGCTACTGTTTTTACTACACCAATATCTGTGCTTTCGTCTATCAAAATTGAAAACATTTGTGACTTCAAGTCACTGATCAAGTTTTTTTTTCAGTTTCCCCAATACAGTTATTTATCACAGCTTGAACTTTAGTTCTTTTTAATCTAATATAAAGATATTAGATTAAAAAGAACTAAAGTTCAAGCTGTGATAAATAACTGTATTGAATCACTTGCGGATTTGTTACCAAAGTTGTTCCCAGATTAGCCAGCCATCTGAAATAGCCCTTTGGCTATCTGAAAATCTGGGAACAACTTTGGTAACAAATCCGCTAAGTGATTCATGACATTATGAGATATCTTATGCTCGGCAACAAAAGCAGCTAATTTTATTTCTGTAGTCTTTAACAATTGCTTTTCATTAGTTGGCATGGATTTAAAAACACTTACTTTAGACTTGTTTTTTGGACGTTGAAGCACTACACCCCTTTAAATTATTCACGTGTTTATTTCCTTCTTTGTGGCGTTTTATTACACTTTTTTCGGCTCTGAAAGATGTATTGCAAATATTGCAGGTTGCCTTCGATAAGTCCCTATTATCTTTTCTTAGCCAGTCTTATATTCTTTATTCAGCAACCATTCTTCCCGAAACTTCTGCTTATAACGCTTTCTGTTAGCTGGTACTCGTGTTAGGCTATCTTCTCGACCAGTAGCGCTATCGCTACCACTCTCCATCTTTTTAAATACTCAGATCACACACAACACAACACAAGAAACTCTTACCTTACGTAATGTTACGTATGAATGAAATGTTTGTAGCCTACTCATACACCAATATTTATAATATATGCCAAAATTATATTTATATATATATATACACAAATACATACATTCACCACTATAGAACACTTACTCGCGCGGGCGCCTCTGCTTTGAGCGCGGCGCACCGCTGTAACCACAAGAATGCGCTAGCGCAGCCCCACGCTCACGCGAGGCTCCTTAGTCGGCCACGAACGCCAGCGCTTGTAACTCGCGTCGCCCGTCTAACCACCGCCCCGCTCCGTACGCGTTGTCGTGTCGCGAATAATATTAATTGTTATTGTGTAAATTGTTTTAATCTATTGTGCTATCGTTTCCTACTTGCTCCTTCTATCTTTGTGGTACTTTTTAACTGACTTTCTTTGGTGTATGTGTGTTCTATATATTAAATTAATTTCGTCTTTCTACCTCCGAAACGAACTTTTATTTTTGTTTTCTCACATACCTGTGCCGTAAGTACTATACTGGTGACCCCGATAAGAACATGACCGATAGCAGTGATTCCGCGAACACCGAACGTACCGTGGAGGAGAACATCACCAAGCGGATCAAGAAAATGCGCCCTGCGACTCCCCGCCGCGACTTGTCACCTGACCGTCGTGAGACTAAAGTCGTACTAAAGGTCGCAAAATTTTCACCCGAGGACCCGGAGCTTTGGTTCGCGCTTCTAGAGAGCCAATTTGAGAGTCTCGGTATCACAGAAGATGCCGTGAAGTTCAGCTCTGTTACGACTAGGCTCGACATTCAGTATGCAAAAACCGTAAAGGACGTCATACTGAATCCTCCCGCTAGGAACCGTTACGAGAAGATCAAGACTGAGCTTCTTCGTCGCCTGTCAGCTTCGCACGAAACGAAGGTGAAGCAGTTGCTCACGCAGGAGAGACTTGGTGATCGCAAGCCATCCCAATTCCTGCGACACCTTCAGGACTTAGCCGGATCATCTGCGGCGGAAGACATAGTGAAACAGATTTGGAGTAACCAGCTACCCATCGGTGTCCAGACTGTGCTGGCGTCCCAGACCTCGCACTCACTGGAGCAATTAGCCGACCTCGCTGATCGCATACAGGAGCTGACATCACCACCTAGCGTCTCAGCCGCCTCGAACGGTAGTGCCCGGCAGTCTGACGAGATTGCTGAGCTGAAGAAGATGGTGCAGCACCTCACCTTAAAATTAGAGGAACATACTCGTGCATCTTGCTGTTCCGCTGAACGCGGAAGGCCACGCGACCGTCGGCGATCAAGCTCGTATAGTAGAACGCGATCTAAATCTAGTTACGTGAAACAACCCGTATGCTGGTACCATATGAGGTTCGGAGCACGGGCTCATAGGTGCCTGAAGCCGTGCGACTACAAGCAAGCGGGAAAAGCCACGGGCAGTCGCTAATGGCGACTGACGACTGCCCCGCCTCAACGGGTCGCCTCTTCGTTACCGATCGCAGCAGCAATACGCAATTTTTAATTGATACTGGTAGTGATTTGTGCGTCTACCCACTTTCTGCGCTTAGTGAACGTCGAGCCAAGACAGACTTCCAGTTAACCGCTGCTAATGGCTCAATAATTGATACTTTTGGCTTTACTAACCTAAATTTAAACTTAGGCTTAAGGCGCAATTTCCCTTGGCGCTTCACTGTAGCGAATGTTACAAAACCAATTATAGGTGTTGATTTTTAAGCCACTATAATTTAATGGTAGATTGTCGCAACCAACGCTTAGTGGATACTACTACAACCCTTTGTACTAATGCTTGTATTGCTCGTTCTAATATATTTTCTGTTAAGGTCTCGACGGGCGACACGCGTTTTCACAAGATTCTGAGTAAGTTTCCTGACATTACACGCCCTTCAGGTACACCCACACTTGTGAAACATAACACAGTACACCACATCAGGACTACACCTGGTCCTCCTATATCATGTACTCCCCGCAGACTGGCACCAGATAAACTAAAAATTGCCAGACAGGAATTTCAGCTTATGTTGGACAATGGGACGGCCCGTCCTTCTGAAAGTCCCTGGGCCTCACCCCTACACCTAGTGCCTAAGAAGGATAATGGCTGGCGCCCTTGTGGCGATTACCGTATGCTCAACGCACGGACCATTCCAGACCGTTACCCGATTAGGCACATCCACGATTTTTCCCACTCTATTTCTGGTTGTACGATATTTTCTACCATCGATTTGACAAAAGCTTTTAATCAGATCCCACTTCATGAAGCTGATATTCCTAAAACAGCCATAACCACACCCTTTGGCCTGTTCGAATTTCCATTCATGAGTTTTGGTTTGCGCAATGCTGGGCAAACTTTCCAGAGGTTTGTAGATGAAATGACTAGAGGTTTAGATTTTTGCTACCCATTCTTAGACGATTATTTAGTCTTCTCTAAAAATGCGGTAGACCACGAAGCTCACCTTCATCAGCTCTTCAGCCGAATGAAGGAATACGGTGTCCTAGTTAACACTTCCAAATGCGTCTTTGGCGTTAGCGAAGTAACCTTTTTAGGATACCATATTTCAGCAGCTGGTACTAAACCTTTAGAGTCCAAGGTCCAGGCTATTAAGGACTTCCCTCTGCCCAAAACCGTCCGACAACTAAGACGATTTTTAGGGATGCTCAATTTTTACAGGCGTTTCGTGCCTCACTTCGCTGCAGTTCAGGCCCCTTTAAATGCTCTCCTCGCTGGTTCTGTTAAAGCCTCCCACCCGGTTGATATCTCCGGTGAGGCCTTGTCAGCCTTTAACCAATGCAAGGAAAGCCTCTCTAACGCCGCATTACTGGCTCACCCTAATTGTCAAGCAGAACTAGCGTTAGTAACAGACGCATCTGACCTGGCAATGGGTGCAGTTCTACAGCAATTTGTAGACGGAATATGGGAGCCTTTAGCATTTTTCTCCCGAAAGTTGAGTCCCTCTCAGCAAAAATATTCACCGTACGACCGCGAGCTTTTGGCCATTTACGAAAGCATCAAATACTTCCGCCACATGTTGGAAGCAAGGCATTTCGTAGTATACACTGACCACAAGCCGCTTAGTTTTGCTTTCAGCGAAAGGAAAGCTAATTGCTCGCCTCGACAGTTCCGCCATCTCGACTACATATCGCAGTTTACCACAGATATCAGGCATATTTCTGGTAAAGACAACGTCGTCGCCGACCCACTGTCTCGTGTCGCCGAACTGCAGATACCAGTCGATTTGGATGTCTTGGCTTCATCCCAAGCTGCTGATCAAGAGCTGAATCAGTTTTTAGGTGAAGAATCTTCACTTCGTCTGGTGAGAATGAGGATCCCTGACTCTCAATCACAACTATACTGTGACGTCAGTACTCCCTCACCTAGACCCTTTGTCCCTAAACCACTGAGACGACAAGTCTTCGACAGTCTTCATAGTCTTAGCCACCCAGGCGCCAACGCAACTGCTAAACTAGTAGCTGAGCGTTTTGTTTGGCCTGGTGTGCGCAAAGACTGTCGCGAGTGGTCACGTCAATGTCACGCATGTCAACGCGCCAAGGTACATCGTCATGTGTCCTCACCGTTAGGGACATTCGATTTACCTCGCGTGCGATTTGCATTTATTCACGTTGACATAGTTGGTCCGTTACCCATTTCCCAAGGGTACCGCTACTGTTTTACAGCTGTAGACCGCTATACACGCTGGCCAGAGGTTGTGCCAATGGTGGATATGACTGCCGAGACGGTTGGAAAGGCGTTAATATCATGGATATCCAGGTTTGGATGTCCAACAGATATTGTCACCGACCGCGGCCGACAGTTTGAATCATCACTTTTCCTATATTTGGGAAAAATGATTGGATTCAAACACCGTAGAACCACCGCATACCACCCTTCTAGCAACGGCTTAGTCGAGCGTTTCCATCGCCAGCTTAAATCAGCCATTATGTGCCACGCTGACAACAACTGGGTAGACATGTTACCCCTGGTACTCTTGGGCATAAGAAGCTCTTTTAAAGACGACTTAAGGTCATCTTCAGCCGAATTGGTGTATGGTGAACCGTTGCGTCTACCTGGTGAGTTTTTCCAGGGAACGGTTCAACACAACACCGATATATCGGACTTCACGGCGCGGTTGCAAAGGTTTGCAACTAAATTGCAACCCGTACCGGCATCACGCCACAATAAAGACAAAATTTTTATATACAAGGACCTCGCCTCTTCAAGTCATGTATTTTTGAGAGATGACACATTACGCGGAGCCTTACAGCCACCTTACACCGGCCCCTATAGGGTACTCAGTCGAGGTGATAAAACCTTTAAGTTACATGTCAAAGGGAAAGATGTTGTAGTATCGATAGACCGTTTAAAGCCAGCCTACGTGCTACAAGACTCATGTCCTGACTCCATACCCACTACCACTCCCTATACCAATCCTACCCCTACTCCCATTCCTCTACCTGATCCTGTTCCTATGAGGCATCCTGCCCCAGCTCAGGATGACGTTAGAAGGACGCGCTCAGGCCGCACAGTGCGCTTTCCTGATTTTTATCGCCCGTAGTGACGGTCTCTGGGGGGGAGTGATGTAGCCTACTCATACACCAATATTTATAATATATGCCAAAATTATATTTATATATATATATACACAAATACATACATTCACCACTATAGAACACTTACTCGCGCGGGCGCCTCTGCTTTGAGCGCGGCGCACCGCTGTAACCACAAGAATGCGCTAGCGCAGCCCCACGCTCACGCGAGGCTCCTTAGTCGGCCACGAACGCCAGCGCTTGTAACTCGCGTCGCCCGTCTAACCACCGCCCCGCTCCGTACGCGTTGTCGTGTCGCGAATAATATTAATTGTTATTGTGTAAATTGTTTTAATCTATTGTGCTATCGTTTCCTACTTGCTCCTTCTATCTTTGTGGTACTTTTTAACTGACTTTCTTTGGTGTATGTGTGTTCTATATATTAAATTAATTTCGTCTTTCTACCTCCGAAACGAACTTTTATTTTTGTTTTCTCACATACCTGTGCCGTAAGTACTATATGTTAATTAGACTGTTGGTCGAATAAGATACAAATAAACTAGGTAAATTAAAAAGTTCTAAGTATTCATAGAAATTCAAATACATACACCACCACCGAATTCGTTTGCGTAATATCTCACCGCGCTATTGGGGGATTTCCCGACACATGAAACAGTGTTGTCGGTGGAATGAAAGGAAAATACCCTAACGTAAAGAAAATGAACATTCAAACCCGCTAAAACTATTTTAGTTAATAGATAATCATATTTATCTACAAGATTTAAAAAAATACGATCTTCATTGGGTATTACGGTGTACTTTGCTACCGTAATTATAATCCTACGGTAGGTGGTAGATCTATGCTGATTACGGTGTTTTTACCGTAATTACGGCGCAGTTGGCAACACTGAACCGGAATGACAACTTATAAAACTAGCTCAGGGTTGCCATAAATACAACTCTTATTTTATTGTTTTCTCAACAAAGATACATATTATAATTTAACGATCTCATCAGTAAAATCAGGTAATTCGATGATAAAAAATATTTTTATTACCCTATCAAAACATCAGATCAGGTATAAAACAAGAAATTTATTTTTTAAATGTATTGGTTGACAAAGTTAAGAAAATAGATAATGTAGCTTATAGTTCCCAATGCTTAATATCTAAACTTTTTAAAAACAACAGTCTGTCAAGTCTACAGGGATCCAAGCGGTATCGCTCATCGCTTGCGATGTTGCCGGCAATTGAGACAAGGCGCTCACAAGGAACAGATGATCCCACGATACTCATATACATCATGGCTATTGAGTGAACTTGATGATAAATAGAGTTTTTTTGTTCTTGCCAGTAAAGTATGGGATCATACTTAATGTGCACAACTGCCTGCGATAAATAGTGTTTAAATTCTTCATTTAAGCCTTGACTTTCCTGTGCATGTGCATTACATATAGAGAGTTGCTTTTTTACAAGCAACTTATGAAAATCCCAAATTCCATTTTTCATATCATTATCAGTCCCTTCTATTGCGTCGACTTCTTCACTGTTATTTTGTGGAAGTTGTTGCCGTGTAATATCCAAAATTGAAGTGTTTATTCTATTTCTTGCTTAAGAACATGCGACATGGTCAGTAAAATGATTTTTTTTAAATCATGGATCTAAAATGGTCGCAGCAGCCAACAAATGAACTTGTTCGACACTTCCAAATCTTTTCTTTAGGCCGTCCACTATTAAAGTTCTTGTTTTAGCACCAATATCAGTTGAAGTTTTCATTTTATTATATGTTTCAATCAGACAAGATACGATTGGTATAATTTTACTGGCTGTAACATAGGCTTCTCCCAATATTTCTTTAGTTATTACTTCTAATGGTCTCAATATATTTAGAAGATCTTTTATGAATTCTAACTGCTGTGCAGTTAGCATTGCTGGCCCTTTAGGATACTTGAGTAATATTGGCGCAATTATTTCGGATAACTCAACAAATCGTTCTAATTGATAAAAAACAGAATTCCATCTGGTAAACACAGACTGAATAAGGCTTTGTTTGGTGATCCTGAGTTTTCTTTAAAGAGTTAGCAGCATTTGTATTTTGCTTAAAATATGTAGTAATATCTTTAACAGCTGTTAGTAAATTCTTGGCTTCTTCTAGTCCATCCTTATTGTTAAATGGTTTTGATGCTACTAGGTTTAATGTGTAAGCAAAGCATGGCATGTGTTTATTTTTGCCATAAACATTTGTGACAGCTTTAACGATATTTGCGCCATTGTCCGTGATAAACGCTGCCACTTTGTCACTTGTGATGCCCCATTTTTCTGTCATATTAATTGTAATGTTTGCGGGGAATAACGAATACACGTATTGCACAATCAAGTGTTTATTTCCGACTGCCGCCTGCTCGATACCCACGTATATATATATGTGCGGTATCTAAGACTTACAACTACTTAATACAATTACCCTACATTACATTAATAATTACTTCTGCTAAGTAGTCAGCATCGTGTGGTTTTGTTAGAGCAGTTACACCAAAAATTATGCTCATTAATTTAGTTTCATATATACAATGACCAGTTAAGCCTAAGTAGCTTTGACTATTATGAGAGTCGGTCCTAACATCTGCAGTTAAAGATAGTGCTTCTACTTCTTGTATTTTTAATTTCAGCTGTGCTGAAACTTAACACCTAAAATTAATTATTCAATCAATCAGTCAATGATGTGGTGTGTGTTAATGGTGTTAAGTGTGGTCAAATAACCAATGCAATAGTCTTCATGATAGCAGAGGATGGCTTGCCTCTAAATACTGTGGAAAAAACAGGATTTCAATATTTGATGAAAGTAGTGGCACCGCTATATAAAGTTCCAGCCAGAAAAACAATTACTCTCATGATTGATGATAAATATGACATTCTATCGGCACAACACATAAAAATACAAGATGTAGAAGCACTATCTTTAATTTCAGATGTTTGGACCGACTCGCATAATAGTCAAAGCTACTTAGGCTTAACACGTTCACTGCGGGCCAAATTTTGAAGAACTTTCAGCTGGTGCGGCTGAGGTCGAATCAGCCCCAAGCTAAACTTCCTTGTAATGCGGTTGAGGTCTTTTCTGCCTCATGTTTCAATCATTTGGTAAATGTGTTGTAACTTGATCAGGAGCGTGATTCGATGTTTAATTTTACGCTAAAATGTACACCTAGCTTCGCCCCGGGTTCTGATTTTTAGTTTTAGAGAAAACACCTAAAATATATTTGAGGTCGTTTTAGACCACACATCGCACTAAATCGGGGCGGCATTAGTGATGGGAATGAATTTATATCGATGAATGTCCATGTCTATGTTATATTTCTATTACTTTTTAATATTGTTATAGTATTGTGCATAAAAGTATGGGGTGTTGTTAAATAAAATACAAACTATTCGTTCATCTAATTTATTCTGTATTACTTTGCATGCTGTTCGTTTAAACAATGCAAGCACATAGCTTTCTTTCATTGTTGACAATTAGTCATAATTTTTTTTACTTTCTTTGCAGCCTGCATGGCACCTAATGTAAGTCGTAATTTTGCATAACAAATGACGCAACGTTTCCTTATTTGACCCTTTGCAAGGATGTGCTGAGACTCTGAATGGTTTGGTTCATTATTACCTGTAAATTGAAAACATTTCTCATTCTAAGTACTTAAATGTAACCGCTCGTGGACGTGCAGAAGTAATTTTAAGAGGCCCAAAATCGTGCTTTAAGCTTTTAAAAGTAGTAAATAGTACCTAACCTAGTAAATAAACGCCCTTACAACAATAAAACTAATACAGCCAATAGTGATCAAAACATCAAAAACTGCGCATGCAATATTTTTGAAAAAAAAGTGCTTTAAAAAAGATCATGAATTAGATTCCAAAAATAGAGAAAATATATAGCATAGGTAGTTTTAGAACGGGCATAATTCATAAGCAGCAGTTGCAGTTGAGTGCAGAAAATTTGTGCATTGCATGGTATGTAAATTATTTTACGTAGAAATATCTAAATGAAACGTAAAAAAACAAAAGCTTATAGCTATGGTTTGCAATATGCGAAAAAATAGGATTAGTGCATGTGCTTATAAATAAAATGATAGCGTGGTAAGTAGAGCAGCCAATTGATAAATAACAGTATTAATCTATTTATCTACCTCTTTGATTCCTCCAGTAAAATGTTTTAACATAAAATTGAAAATAAATCAATTACATGACTCCCGATATGAATCAAACCTGAAACCATTACAATTTCATATCCTAATAAAAATATATGTAATGAGTAGTAGTTGAACAATCTAAGGACGACTTATCTCATTCGTAACCAGATTTTGGTTGCGTTACAACTTACATAGAAAAATCTAGAAACACTTAAACGCGCGATTGTGTCGCAGTGGGACTCGAACCCACGACCTTCCGATTGCTGAAATAACAAAAATATGGCGACAAAACTTAATTTACTGTAAGGTAAATTAAAATACATATATAAAGGACAATGGCAGGTCCCCATACATAATTTTATTTGAACTGAAATGTTAGCGTTTAAATATCAAAAAATCCTTAACACTTGAGAATTTATTCTTGACCATTATCATATCAAAATTACTTGCGAAAGAAGTCTAGGAAAAAAGATATTGGATTTTGAATGTTTCGAGGTTAAGTACTAACATATTGTTAATGTTTTGTTTGAAACTAGATGGCGTTGTGTGTCAGATAGCCGAAAATATTATTTTCATTATTATTATAGTATATGAAATAAAAAAAATAAAAGCATAACATCTATTCGAGTTTAACACTAAATTAAACAAAAATAAAATAACAAACGTGGTGAGTCCGGAACTTGACAGGATCTAAACCACAGATTAAGAGATATGTACTAAACGACGACGTATCGACATTTTGAAAATATCGATGTATGTCTATTTACGTGCCGTTATCAATGACAATGTATTTTTCTCATTACACTGTGTAGTGGAAAATAACGTAACTATATTATATTTCTTTAGTGTGTTTAAAATCGTTTAAAGAGAGTCAAAAATATTTTAAATCATTTCTAATTATGTTGATTCAGTCACTCTACCGTACGAGTGAAGACGTGGGCAGAAGCAAATTCATAATCATAATAGTGAACCTTCGGTAAATATTTCAGCCAAAGCTATAAGAATCGATTATCGATAAATTGTTCCATAATATAATATTGCCACCACGCATCCCTAGTCAGTTATACGTGATGGCGAATCTGACATTACGTACTTAGGTCAAATAAAATCTTCAGAAATATCTTATCTCTTATAAGACTTATACAACACATGGTGGTGTAATGATAAATCATAGAATTTTTTTTTATTAAGTTTACTGTGACTCGATTTTTTAAACGCTTAAGTTTTAGGTAAATATGTTTCTGCCATTGTTCTTTGTGTAACGTACCATTGCCAAAAATACTTTTACCAGTAAGTGACTCAATTAAGCATTCTGTGAAATCTTTTTTGGACATTTTCTTAGGGTTTGACATATTATAAATGAGCCAAGCATTTACAACTGAAGTACCGAACAAAAACTCCATTACAACCTTCCTATACCACTTCAGACCTCTCTTCAGGACAGAGTAATATGATGCCATCTGATCACTGTAATCAATGCCCTTTTTGTTTTCGTTGTACATTAATACGCATTTAGGCTTTCTTATTGGTTCATTGGTTAATCTTGACTGCTTTCCTGTATTTACTAGTTCAGCTTTGTGATCTTTGCAAGTAGTAAGCATTAGTACCTCTCGCTTATCACACCATTTTATAATACGTACTCCGCTTTCTGACATCTTGCCATATACTTGACCTTTTCTCACTTTAGTACATACAATTTCTTTGGGCACGCCTTTCCTATTAGACCTTAACGTACCACAATAGAATGTTTTACGTGTTAAAAGCAGTTCTGCAAGTTTGATTGATGAGTAGAAATTGTCTGCAACGACTGTTCGGCCTGCGTCTTCCAGCCCAGCCACTAATTTCATAACTGTTTTGAGGCCATGATCTTGCTCCCGTTTGTTAGCCTCTTTACCTGTATATACAATCATTCTGTACGTATAACCCTCGGGAGTACATAGCTTATATATTTTCACGCCGTATTTGTGGGATTTATTTTTAATGTACTGCCGAAATTTAAGGCGACCTCGCCAAGGAATCATTGTCTCATCTATAACGACTAATTTGCCTGGTTTCAAGGGTACATTAAAAACGGCTATTTAACGATTCATATATTTCACGAAATTTATGTAGTTTATCATCGGTTTCTTTTACTGATAATTCACTGAAATGCCAAAATTTAAGAATCAACAAAAATCGGTCTCTTGAAAACAATGAACAGATGTAATCATTTCTATAAATAGACTTCCGCGACCAATAGTCATTTAAATGAGGGACTTTGTTTAAGCCCATTATTAAAATTACTCCAAAAAATTGACGCATTTCTTCGAAATTGGTCGGTTTCCAAGCTTTAACACGAGATTTTTGTTTAATTGTATGAGCGTTATCAACCAAGTACTTCTCTGCATAATCATTCGTTTCTTTCACCATTTTATTAATTATTTCTTCGGTTACAAATAAATCATATATTTCAATAGGTGTTTTATTGTCTGTAGGTAAAAGTATTTTACAGTCAAGTGTATTTTCTGCAAAATCTGGTATTTCGTCAGTAATATCCACCCATGGTTCTTCTTCAAAGCCTTGTTCTTGTGAATGCAACCAATCACTTTCGATCCTCGATTCATCATCATCTTCCAATTCGTCACTATCTTCTGAAGATGATAAAGAGCTTTTTTCAAATGATAAGTTTTCTTCGTTAGTAGTACTAAATGAAACTTCACTTACAGATTCAGATATATAACCTCTTTCTTCTATCATTAATTGTAGGTCAAAACTTTTTTCTGGTGTCTTATTATTCAACGGCAAAGCTAACATTTCTTCTGTGGTAGTATTTTTTATTCCATTTTCTATCGTAATCATGTTATTATTGTTAGTGTTTAAAGTTACATAATTATTGGTTCTTTTCTGTGAGATATTTTTCTGGATAGCAATTATATCAGTGTCTTCGTTTTCTTCCTCAAATGTATAAGAAAAAGTTCTTTCAACATCTTTTGTTTCTATTAAATTCGTGCATTGTAAATTATTTGTGTTCACAATTTCAGTTTCATCTAAAGGCATTAAAGAAATGTTGTCTAAAGATGGACATCTGCTGTTTGATGTGCAAAAACGACTTATTGAATCTGGGGTAGATATTTGAGAAGAAACGTTAATAATACGTTTTTGAGTTGGAGTTAACAGTATAGCTGGAGACGGCACTGTAACACTTAGGTCTTTGAGAGGTACAAAGTCGTTGTGTGCACTATATTGTACACGTTCTTCTATATTATTATCCTTTTTGTGTAATGAGTGAGACGGAGATAAAATATTGATGGCATGAGCGTTCTCTAATAAAGCAAATTTTTTGTTAGTAATTGGACTCACGTTTATCCGAGGTTCTCTTTGTATTCGTTTTCTTTTTAGATTAGGAAAAATTTCATAATCAGAATCATTAGAATCATCTTTGGCTTCATTTTTGAAAACAGGCAGAGCAATCGGTGGACATACTTTTACATTACTGAGAATTTTCACCCTACTCTCAATTTCTGATTTTGAGTTACTCAAAGAGTATTTTAACTTTTTACTGCACTTTTTATAACTTTTATTCTCTATATTTGTCTAATGGATTAAGAACGGGCTCTTACTTTTGTTATATTACAAATGCTGAAAATTCTTTTATTTATGTCCCCTATACCCTGCTTATGCAAACCCAGAATATACAACCTGGGTCGCGGTGGCTTTGGCAGGTAACAGGTAGTAAAGGTGAGTAAAATTGTGTTCCAAATTTGTGATAGTATAACACTTAGTTTTCATATATTTTAACTTACAATCATATTAGAAACCGCCTCGTCTATTGGCGGACACTTAGGACGGTGACAACCCCTTCCCCTTACAGTCTAACTACTTTCATATCTACTTTCGTCATAGTATTACATGTACATTTAGGCAAAAAAGTAGGTTTAAGAAATTTTTTAATGTGACTGGGAGAATATTTGGCCCATTGGATTGGTCTGACTGTCCACAAAAGGTATTAATATAGTCCCCTAAGCATAATATATAAAGTTGAAGACTTCAAAAATAAGAAAAGTTTAGTTATTTTTTTATGATATTTAAAGCGTCTGGGAGGAGTTTCCGCTCACAGAAACAGTCTGTCAACATGAAACATGTATTTTTAATAATATTCTGTGTAACATATATAAAAATCAGTACTTCAAATTAAGAAAAGTAAGCTATGTTTTTGTTTAACTTCTCTGCCTGCTACCTGTGAACAGGTCGCCTAGCCAAGCTAGCGAGTATGCACATACTCTTATACAAAACAGAAATTAAAAATGTTTAAAAAGTAAGTTTTTGTACTAAGCTTGGCCTGAACTATGAAAGAATATGGAATGCCATCTATGCCAGGAGCCGAGTCTCGCACACTGTTGAGGACCATGTTCAGTTATTCTAGAGAGAATGGGTCGTCATGGGTATCCACTGACTGAAACGGTAAGTCTGGTAAGGTCGCTTCATCGAGTTGAGGGACATACGGGGGGGCAATTCTGTCCAGGAAAAGCTCAGCTGTATTGGGGAGATAGAGGAAGAGACAGAAGGCGAACAACCAGATCGGAACCGATTTATGTTCTTCCACACCATTGAGGATGGGGACAAGGAGGAACAAAATTTAACCCCACCGGCGCGCTTCTTGCGTCGAAGGAGTCTTTTGGTAGTGGCGAAAACGTTTTGGTAGATGAGCAAATTATGGATGGTCATATCAGCATAGTATCTCCTTTCGGACTCCTTCCTATACTTGACTGCCTTGGTACATTCACTGTCCCACCAAGGAGGTGACGGAATTTTGCCTTTGCTTGAGTTTTTAATTTTGAAAGAACTGTCTGCACTTGATCTGATCGCCTCTATGAACGCGCCACAACAGTCCATCACCAGGTAACGATCATCATGGGTTAAGGGTCTAAGGTCTAGTCTGGGGAGAATATTCACAGAGTTTTCGAGGGTTTGGGAGAAATTTTGCCAGTTAGCTTCTCAAAGGATATGTTTTAAAAGGGGGGGGGGGGAAGTTTTACCAAGTGGGTTGAAGTTGGGAGGGATACTAAAATTGGATAATGATCACTACCATGCGACAGAGCGGTGCACTGCCAGCTAGCAGCTGCGGCGATGTCCAGTGAGCAAATAGTCAAATCCATACAGCTACCATTTTGATCATCAAGTATCTCCACTAAACCTGAACCGAAAGAGTCGCAGTGTTCAGATCCCCATCTATAGTGATGGCAGTTAAAGTCTCCCATAACCAATATTGGGCCCTGTAGATCCTGTAAAATGGTTCTCAATGTAGGCAGGAAACTTTGATGGGGGTGAGCGATATAGATAGAGAGCACAGATATGTTACAGATCTTAGCTGCAACCACGCTGATATCCTCAAGGAATGGGGGCAAGGATAGGGGGACAAAGGGGTTTTTAGTATTAATAAGGAGGGCAGCACCTCCATAGCCATCAGGCCTATCACATCTAAGTATATTGAAATGGGGGACATGGAAGTTGAGACTTGGTAAAAGCCAGGTCTCAGCGAGAGAAATAGCCAGAGGCTTGAGTTTGTTCAACAGGAATATGAGGTCGTGTTTTTTATGGAATACACTCCTCATATTCCATTGTAGAAATACTTTGTGGGACGCCATTTTGGAAATTTGTTAAAATATTAATAAGTGAGACAGCAACGTTGGACGGTATAATAGACTGGGATACAGATGAATTGGGGGATAGTAGGGGGATTAAGAGTTGTATCAGAAGATCAATAGTTGAGGATTCAAGGGATGGGTTATTCAGAGCATAACCATTAGGTTGTGAAGGTTGGGGAGATTGAGTAATGGATTGGTGTGCGACTTTATCGTAGGAGAGTGAGAGTGAGGATCGAGGTTTAGGTTGGCGAACCACAGTTTTTTTGTAGGACTGTGTGTGCTAGAGGGATTGGGTAGGCTGAGTGGATTGAGAAGGTTGAGGGAGTTGGTTGAGTTGTGGAGCTTTCAGGATGTCAGCATATCGGCGTGTTGGAGAGGAAACAACCTTGCTTGCTTCCATGTAGGATATGTTCTTTTCCGCCATCATGGTCTTAATAGCCCTCTGTCTACCATACTCCGGGCAAGCCCTGCTATAAGCAAAGTGGTCACCGGAGTACAGCACACAAAAGGCCTCTCCTTCTGATACCTCACAACCATTACCAGGATGTTCGTGGCCACACTTGCTGCATCTTGCTTTGGACCTGCAGATGGACTCCACATGGCCAAACCTGCAGCATTTCCTACACTGTACGGTTGGGTAAATATATTGTTGAACAGGAAGCGAGTTGTAACAACAGTATACTCTTTTAGGCAGAACCTGGCTATCAAAAGTGAGGACACAGGTTTCCGTAGGTTTCCACTCCAATAGACCTTCAGTAAAAGATTTCCTATTAAGGCGCCTGACTTTAATTATTGGGCCACAACCCTGCAGCACTGTTACAAATTTAATGACATCCTCATCATCCATGTCGGTGGGGATGCCTGATACTACACCCATTCTAGTGATGTTAAAGGTGGGGATGATGGCAGTGTATTTATGTGTATTTAGTAAGGGGTTTATTAAAAATGAGTTGGCATCCTGAGGGAATGCAAACTGTACTGACACCCTATTACGACCTACTTTTTTGACTCCATCTCTAACCACATTATTAATTTTATTTTTGAAGAGGAAAACACCAAAAGAGACAGGGTGTAGAGTTGTGCCAGAACCTAATTGGTTCTCCACGCGGGAAACATGCACAATGTAGGGACCAGTATCCTTTGTCGTGTACTTGTCACGACCAAGCGGGCTTCTTATTTGATTAGGGCTACGTTTAAGAGGGTGGGTACTTACCTCATCGTTTACATGTCGTTTACGTGAGTTTGTAGCGAGAGGGTAATTATCTGGGACCGCTGCATTGCAGATCACATTGGCAAACTGTTCTAAGGGGTTGGAAGGGGTTGAGGGTTGATCGGGTAGGGAAGGAGTAGGAGTGAAAGGAGGGGTTACTGGATATGGAATATCGGGCGGTTTATTTCAGTTCATGTTAATCACTTACCGGTAATGTTTAGTTACAAACAACACCTGTACAGACTGTTATCCGGCTAATAAATTTAAAATAATAAGCAGCGATGTGGTAAAACTTGTAATGGCTGAACAGTACAGATTGAAGTTCACAATGGTAATGTACCGACATCTATGTGTTGAAATAAAACAAGCTGGTTATAAAATATAGTAAATTTCTATATTTAATTATATTTAAACGTGGAACAATGTTCCCACAATGATGACAAGATCTCGAGCGAGAAAAAAAAAATGTTGCAATCATAGAACAAGGCCAAAACCTCCTTTCTAAGGAGAGGCCTATGTCCAGCAGTGGACTAGTATATGTTACAGATCTTAGCTGCAACCACGCTGATATCCTCAAGGAATGGGGGCAAGGATAGGGGGACAAAGGGGTTTTTAGTATTAATAAGGAGGGAGGAGTAAATGGGTATATACATAAATTTTATATTATTTTTGTTACAATAATTGTAAACAGAGTCTCTATGAGCTTTTGAGGAATGTAAATCATACAATTCTTTTAATTGATTCTCAACACCCTTAAATGTTTTTGCATTATCGCAAATAGGTAGGCATACCTCGCTTTGATATAAAGCGATCGAAGCATGCCAAAAAGGTTGTGGTTGTAAGATCTGATACAAATTCTGCGTGCAGAGCTTTAGTGCAGAAGCAGACAAATAGTGCAACATAACCCTTAGTCACGAGTGGCTTTCGAATTCTTGCCACTTTCATATTAAATGGGCAGAAGTCAACACCTACATGCTGAAAAGGCCTACTAGCGGTGATACGTTCCACAGGCAAAGAACCCATTAGCTGCCTGGCAGTATCAGCCTTCAAACGTGCACATTTCAAACATTTGTGTAAAACCTTCTTTACCTCACGGATACCACTAATTATCCAGAACTTCTGGGATAGTGAACTGAGTACTAATCTTGGACCAGCATGCAATAAGCGAAGGTGCTCTCTTTTGATAATTAAAGTTGTAATATTACAATTTTTTGGGAGTATAATAGGGTGCATTTTATCTTGGGGAAGGCCAGCATTTTGCAACCTACCACCCACGCGAAGGACGCCTTGTGCGTCTACAAAAGGATGGAGACTAGCAAGGCCAGACCTCAATTTGTTGCCCTTAACAATAGAGGAGATGTCATGAGAGAAATGTTCTCTTTGCACTAAGCGGACAACAATCAACAAAACAGCCTCTAACTCCTTAGGAGTTAAAGTTGCATCTTTAATTATCTGTTTCTTAGAAGCATTGTTGAAAAATCTATAAATGTATGCAACTACATTTTGCAATTTATTTACATCTGAGAATTTCTCAAGTAAAGTGAGAGGAAGAGTGTTGTGTATTGCTAGAGTATATAGCAAGGAATTTCCTCGGAAGGAGAGTCAGGAGTATAAAATTGATTTAAATCAATATATTCAGATATATTATTATCTTTCATGTCGGAGTTTAGTAAAAATTGTGGACCATGCCACCAAACAACTTTCTCCTGTAATTTTTGGGCTTCTATACGGCGTGAGATAATATCTGCAGGATTGTTACAAGATCGTACATACGACCATGAAGATTTATCAGTGAGTTTAACAATTTTCTGTACTCTATTATTGACGTAAGCATTGGACTTGACTGTACCTGACTGTATCCAGGCAAGAACGATTTGAGAATCGCTGAAAAGACGGACGGAGTGCGGAAACCTTGAGGTAAGCAGCTTGCTAACTCTCTCCGTTACCTGGGCAATAAGTAATGCACTGTTTAGCTCTAGCTGGGGTATGGTGAGCGTCTTGGATAGTGGCGCAACTCGAGACTTTGAGCAAAGAAGGTTGGATTGTACACTCCCGTCAGACCTTAAGACCCTTAAATATAGGCAACAGCCATAGGCTTTCAATGATGCGTCAGAAAAACCAACTAATGTAATGTAATGTAATGAAAAGTCATGATACAGCATGAACCTGGGAACTGAAATTTTGTCCATTAATTTTAAATTGTTCAAAAACCTTTCCCACACTTGGAAAGACTGCAACGGTAGGACATCGTCCCAACCTAATTTCAAAGACCACAAGTCTTGCATGAACATCTTAGCCACAACTACGATAGGGCCTATAATACCCAATGGGTCGAATATCTTGCTAATGTAGCTAAGAATTTTCCGTTTTGTATTGAGATTCTCACCACACTGTGGTGGAGTCTGAAAATAAAATTCATCTGAAACTGTAGGAGGTTAAGAACCAAAAACACATTGATACTTCTGAATATTATTTGTTTATTTAATATAAGTCACAAGGAAGGTAAGTGCGTCTTGCCTAGCACATGATCACAGGTCAAGTGAAGGGGGCGAGTGAATGCTGAACGATTATACTATCGGATTGACAACACAACATATCGATTATAACTATTCGATTAATATCTATTTATAATGTATTTATTTTTGCATTATATTTAAATATTCAACACGCCCCCTCAAAAATTAATCTATCGATTCTGTTTACAAAATTATTACATAGTTATCTACATTGATCACACATAACTTCCAAGTGATTGGCTGGGAAAAAAAATGAATTAATGGTTCAACATTTGTTGCAAAGGATTACGGAAACCCAGCGAAAACCTAATCAAACCATGTTACATTACAATTAATTTTACATGAAACACATTTAAATTAAATATTAAATACATGACACACTTATTCTAAGCCCATTTTGGCTGTATGTGTTTTAAATGCTATTGAAGGTAGCGGTTTTGTGAACACATCGGCTAACTGTTTACCTGTGGGAATATAATTTAATTTTATAACATTTTTCTCAACCTGTTCTCGGGTAAAATGATATTTTATATCAATATGCTTCGACCGCTTATGATTAGTTAGCTTATTCGCTATACTAATGCAGCCGTTATTATCCTCATAAAAAACTATCGGATCTTTTATATTCATGTGAATACTTATAGCTAGAGACTTAAGCCTTGGAAGTGGACTTAAGCAGTGGAAGAAGCTGCTACCGATGTTTGTTTCTTTGTATTCCATGTACTCGTAATTGTACAATTTTCAAATAATTTAAAAAGTAACCTGTAGTACTCTTTCTATCTGTCATATCATTTCCTCCCCAATCTGAGTCTACATAGCCACTAAGTATATGATTATAGTTACACTTTTTATATACTAATTTTAGATCAATTGAACCTTTTAAATATCTAAGCACCCTTTTCAGGCATTGCCATAATTCTTCATTATTTTTATTAGTATATCGACTCAATATGTTAACAGCAGTGCTCAAGTCCGGTCTCGTGCATAACATTACATACATTAAACAACCAATGAGATTACGACATGGTGCATTATAATTATAATCTAAATTTAACGCTTTATAATTCGGTTTGATTTCCATAGGCGTATTTGTAGGATTACAGTCAGACATTTTATATTTATTTAAGATTGTCTTAATATATGCACTTTGGTCTAGTGTTATTTTATCATTATACCTCGTAATTCTAATACCTAAGAATAATTTAATATCCCCTGAGTCAGTCATAGAAAATTTACTCTTTAAATACTGTTTTATATCTGTCATAATATGGATATCAGCACATGCTATAACCAAATCGTCGACATATAGCACTACATAAATATTTTTACATATACTCCCATTATTTAAAACATATATACATCTGTCAACTGATGAATTTTCGAAGCCCTTTTCTTTAAGTGATTGTTCAAATAGTTCGAACCAACATCTAGCTGCCTGTTTCAGGCCATACAATGCTCTATTTAATTTACAAACATAATTATTTTTACTATACACACCCTCGGGAACATTCATATATATCTCTTCTTTTAATAGGCCATTTAAAAACGCAGTTTTGACGTCCATATGATGTACAAGTAAGTTATACTGATTAGCAAAACCAATAATGAATCTGAAACTAGATATCCTAGCAACAGGAGCAAAAGTTTCATTATAATCAATAAGATATTTTTGACTGAAACCCCTTGCTACAAGACGGGCTTTGTACTTAAGAGGTTCTCCAAATTAATTATGTTTTATGGAGAAAACCCATTTGCAATCTATAATGTTTTTATTAATAGGCCCAGGGACTAATGTCCACGTATTGTTAATTAAGAGAGAATTAAGTTCATCTTTAATAGCCTGCTCCCACTGATATTTGTCTTCTCGAGTTTTAATTTCATTATAACAATGAGGAACTTGACATATAATAGATTGTGCATATACTAAGCAATCGTCATCTATTTCTTTATACGATACAGGGGGACGACCTTTAAGCCTATTACTTCTACGTAAAGTGTGTTCTGTGTGTTCATTGTTTACTATTGGGGGTATCCCCCAATAGTAAACATGTATAGTAAACATGTTTACATTCAGTTTCACGATCTGACGGAGCAGGCTCACTCATCTGAATTTCTGTGGGATTATTGAGACTTTGATCAGATTTTAAACTATCTGATTTAGAGCTGTCAAAATGTTGACCCTCTTCTAACACTGATTTTGAACCTAGTTCAGTAATATCAGTTTTGTCAGTGGAAGTTTTAGGATCACTCCCTTCAAGCCTTAATTTAGGCCTGGATATCATAAAATTCGTCTCATCTATTACAACATCCCTTACAGTAACATATTTACTGCTTTCAGTATTCCAAACTTTATAACCGTTTGGTTCATATACCACCAATATACCTTTCCACGATTTATCATCAAATTTATTCTTATTTGTTTTATTATGAACATTGTCAGTAGATCCAAAAACTCTCAGGTAATTAATTTTTGGTTTCCTATTATACCACATTTCAAATGGTGTTCGAGATTGTTCGATTGGTGTTGAGAAAGCTTTAGTGGGTGTTAAATTTATTAAATAAACAGCTGTCAATACAGCTTCACCCCAGAAAACTTTTTCTAATTTAGCACCGCTCAACATAGCGCGAGCTTTTTCAGTTACAGTTCTAATCATACGCTCTGAAACACCATTTAACTGTGGAGTTCTAGGAACAGTTAAATGATAAGTTATTCCTTTTTGCACACAGTAATTTTTCATGTCGGTAGATAAATATTCTCCACCGTTATCGCAATACAGATTAACTAACCTATAGTTAAAATTAGTTTCACTTTTTGCGATATAATCTTTAAAAGCTGAGAATACATCTGACTTATATGATATCAGGTATACGGTACAGTAATAAGTATATTGATCAACAAATATCACGAAATAATTTTTATTATCTACGGTCGAAGGAGTGATAGGTGGTCCACATACGTCGGAATGCACAATATATAATGGTCGTTTCACATAACTTTTATCTTTAATATTATGAAAAGGTAGACGCGATTGTTTCCCATTTATGCATGCCTCACATAACATATCAGTTGGAAATACTGTTTCAATTTCATTTATATTATCAAATCAAAAAAAAAAAAATTCTTAGAATTAAAAAGTAACAACATGATTGTTACTTTTTAATTCTAAGAATTTATTTTTACTAATATGTCCTAAGCGTTGATGCCATAGCTCATAATTATTACTAGTGCATACTTGGGAAACGAAACCGTCAATAGTCACATACACTAGAAAATCTATAGCAATTAAATTGTTTAAAAACTTACCATTAATTAATATCTTACCATCCTTAAATATATGAGCTCCATCTTGATCGAAAATAATTGTCAATCCAGCTCTTTGTATTTTGGAAACGGACAGTAAGTTATATGAAACCTCAGGGCAGAATAATACATCCTCCAAAATTCCATCAATACCCATGTCACTGGTAACTTTTATTGTTCCTCTTTTTGTGCTGGCATTTTAGAAAGTGTATCTTCCTCTTTGCCTTTTGATTATAATTTTTATGAGGGTAGTTATTTGTTATATATGTATTTTCGTTCCTGTTTCTTTTAAATATCTCGTTTTTATTTTCTATCTGTAAAACTTTCATACTCGTATCACGACTTTCCGTTTTTAGTTTAACTTCATGATCCAAGAGTCTAGTTTTTACGAAACCCAGTGTTAAATTATCTTCTGACAATGTTTCAATCGCAGTTATGACACCGTCATATGTCGCCGGAAGTGTAAGTAATAAATGAGACACTTTATCAGTTTCTTCTAACTTGGCTCCGGCAGCCAATAATTCCATAATCATATCTTCAAAAATAGTAAAATGTTTTATTAGTGGTGTATCACCATGTAATTTCTCAAAAATGACTGCACGGATGGCGTAGTGGTTTAAGCGGTCGCCACGCCGCTTCCTACTACGCCGAGTGTTGTGGGTTCAAACCCCACATGGGACGACACTTTGTGTGATCCACAAATTGTAGTTCTGAGTCTGGGTGTTCTTTGTGTCCGTTTCATGTATGTTTGTAAAGTCCCCCGCGACACAGGATTTATTCCTAATGCGGGAGTTGTCTTTTTAAAAGAAAAAAAGAATTCTTTTTGATCCACTCTTGATTCCGCGTTGCGGGTACTTCCTCATCAATTACACTTATAACATCTTTTTCGCTAAAAGCGCGCGTACTCTAAATTTCCAGACACTATACTTCTCGCCATTAAACGGTTTTATATTACGCTTTAGCTTTGAGTTTTCCATTATAAACAATTTAGAAAAAAGAATACTTAGCCTTTTTTTTTCACGATGTGGGTAGAACACTTGACTAGTTTAAATTACGAACACCTTTAATAATTTTTAGCAAAATATACTGGGCCCATAACCTGTAGGAGGTTAAGAACCAAAAACACATTGATACTTCTGAATATTATTTGTTTATTTAATATAAGTCACAAGGAAGGTAAGTGCGTCTTGCCTAGCACATGATCACAGGTGAAGTGAAGTGGGCGAGTGAATGTTGAACGATTATACTATCGGATTGACAACACAACATATCGATTATAACTATTCGATTAATATCTATTTATAATGTATTTATTTTTGCATTATATTTAAATATTCAACAGAAACAACATCGTATTTTAGACCTAGAGTTTTGATTATGTTTTCAGAGTTTAAATCAATCTCCCCAGAATATCTTTGCCGTGGATGAATGTCCTCCAGAATTGAAGATTGGTTTGAGGACCATTTGTGTAATTTAAAATTACCCAACTTGAGTAACTCTATAAGTTCATATTTGAGTGAGTGTAGGTTCTTTAAATTGTCAGAACCTACTAATATGTCATCGACATAAGTGTTTTGTAATATGGCCTTTGATGCCATGGGAAATTCTTTTTCATACCTATGGGCAAGCTCTGCCAGGCTCCGTGTGGCTAAAAGTTTTGCTTTGTAGTTTTGCTATGTTTATTGAAGAAGAAGTGCTAAGAAGTAAACAGAACCATTATAGACATCATAAGAATTTATGTCAACCTCCCTTGCATGCCCCAATGCAACATCAATGAATTTAGAATATTCTTTATATTAATATTTATATTGGATTTTGTTTTAATTTTCGTTCCAAAGATAAAAATCTCTGAAAAGCAACCGAAAATGAGTCCCCCAGTTGCAACTGTTCTTTTTTACAGATAAGAGGTATATCAACATGAAACTTGTTATCTATTATTTTCAGAGACTGCTTAAATATCTCTTCTACCTTTTCAAACTCTAATGGATTTTTTGTTACAGCCTGGTCGGGCACACTCTCAGTCAGCCAGATTTTTTCTATAATATTCTCTAACTTTCTGTGATCACAGATCACTAGATTTGAGACGAAATTAGAGGAAATATTGGTTGATTCATTCTTTAAACAAGCCTTTCCCCCAACAACATAACCAAAGACTGTGTTTTGTAAAATGGGCCCATCCAAAAGCTTAAGGCACCCACTGAGTAAAGAATGAAAGTAAATGTCAGCTCCCAATAACATTGAGATCTCTGAAGGAATGTTAAATTCATCATCAGATAGCTGAATGTCCTTAGGGACATTTAGTTTTGAAATATCAAACTGTTGCTGCGCAAAGGTGTTGTAATTGAATCAACAACATAACAATTAACATTGTATTTTACCTTTTCATGTATAGATGAGCAAATAGGTAGGTTAATAACCTGATTTATTTTTGTAGGCCTATTGCCTATTCCAATAATATTGGAAGAATGCAAAGTGTAATATTAAAAAATTAAAAAAAATTGTTAATTATGTAATGTGAAATGTAATGTGTCTAGGTTCATATAAACGAATAAACTAACTGGTGGCACCACAAATTCTAACCAAACTAATAATCTCGGGCGCCAGGTGCCTTAACCTTAAATGAACACAGACAACTAACAACAAATACAATAAATGCCTCGAACAGCTCGGTCAGCGCTAGACCTTTAATCTAGAATGGCGGGCAGCTATTAAATACAAAGAGGTTATAAGTTTAAGTGGCAGTTTATTATCCCGTAGTGTCTGTAGAGTACATGGTATCTTATAGGTCTAATTACAAATGTAATTCTTATACTCAAATTAGTACTGTCATTAATGCAATCTGTTTACCTTGTTAAAACAAATTAAAAGTAAATATTTGCTAAAGTGTCACATAAAGACTGAATAAAAAGGTAAAGAATCTAAGGGTAGTTGTAACAACGCCAACAAAATTAAAACAATAAAAAAACATACCCAATGACTTTGGGTCAGTCCGAATGAAATTAAAGTAAACTTAATTCTTATAAACCTCACTCGTGCTCCCACGTGGTTGTAGTGGCGGGGTAAGTATTCCAAGGTTCCTGATAATGGGCTACAGCTAAATAACCTTTCCTGCCATTATAGGAACACACGCTCCGCAGCCAACTAAACAAAAAAGGCAAAAAACTAATTGTAACGTAAGGACATTACAATCTAATAAGAGAATTCAACTAGAGGTTAAGTAAAGATCTGAAGTAAGGTAAAGAAAATAAGGTATAAAAAAAAACCCTGTTTCTCTGAGACAACGAAAATTATAGGTTATTTGCCTATCTCAAAAGATGAATTCTAAATCTGGTAAGATCATTGAGTTAAAACAACACTAGAGAAGCAAACCTCATTATCACACGTCGAAAAAAGTGTGACCACTTTTGAACTTTGACGACGTAGCTTTGATACCACTAAACATTTGAAAGTAAACATATTTATGTCTCATTTACACGCGAGACAAGAACAATACCATCGCTCGGATTAGACAAAGACAAAGATATAACTTTACGATGGTGGGCCAGTGTTGACTACCGTATGAAATTTTACCCATAACAACTAAGAAACAATTTTTTTTAAAAGAATTTTGTAATAAAGTAAATTAATTTAAATATTCTAAATAATATATTTCGAATTGAATAGAATAGGTATAAATAATAAAATAACTGGAAATATTTGGTTAAAAGGGTTTATATTCAGTGTAAAATCAAACTGCGCTGTGAAGCATCAGTTTTGTATACAATTGTCTTTTAGACTCTTTTTTATAAGTTTGTGTGGATATTTTACTTTCATGATACAATCTTAATTTTACGTATGTAAAAATAATAGCATTTAATAATAAAAGTGAATGATCAACTTGTACTGATAATAAATAATCCCCAGGGTGTATTGCAAATTCTATTATAATTTGAAAAACAAATAAAAAAAAAAAATTATTTATATTTTATATTTTTTTTTTATTTATGTTTATTTACCTTTTTATTTTATATTTTTATTTTTTATTTTTATGATAAACATTTTTTATTATTATTATTATTATTTTGTACAATTATTATTTAAAATTGATAATAAATTAAGAAAAACAATGAATTAATTCTTTTGTACAAAAGTCTCCAGCACTGCGAGCTTGGCACTTCTGCCAAGCTCGCAGTGAACGTTCAACGGGTCCCTAAAAAAAGTGATCGGTCCAGCCCTAACAACTACCGTTCTTCCTATATTTTATTATTATTGGCAAAATGTTTAAAAACAGTATAAAGCATATTATTTCACAAATTATAAAATCTCCCACTAATGTGGGAAAACCAAAATGATTTTTTAATGGTAACACTGATTCTAAATTACAATTATCAGTGTTTTATTTCAATTATAGCCGTATTTACGATATTATCAATACAAAAACCATAAACTTACACGTGAAAAGTAATTCCGCATGATTTATTAATGTTTTGTGAACTTGAAACGCATTCTTTCACTACGCATTTAGCCATTTTGGCGATTGTTACTGTCATGTGTCGCTATGTTCAACTCGGTTGACGCCACATTGAATACTGAATTGACGTTTGCTACGCATATGCCTGTGGACAGATGTGCAGTAGCAACGATTTTCGGCGGTAATTACTCATCTATGTAAGTATTATATCAATGGGTAAGATACAATAATTTACTCACCAGGGTTCCAAAACGTTTCACAAATAAATCAGAGGCATTATTAATAATTCCTGTAACCAAATAAACAAAGATTTAAAACAACTAATCTCCATAAGCCAAGTATGAACCACGTGGCTTATTAAAACTTACCACAAAAGCAATCTAATATTTCCAATAAAAAACACAGTTGTTTAACAAGACTGGCCGACAACAAAAAGGGAATTAATCCTCTGATTACAACAAAAAGATTACATTTTAAAAATTATCACTTACTCCGACTCAGCCAAAATGCTAAAGTGAACTTACCATCTTGCCAGAGCTAAAGTTCCGTTACTACCTAAAACGCGACAAAAAAATGTTGCCAGATAAAGAAAAAACTAAATCGATACAATTCCTTAGACGATTAGCACCGACATTAAATCGCGCCCGTGACACCGTGACACCGCTCACGGAAACGTCACAAAATTCAAGTGTCAAACCAAAAACACGTCGATGATTAAATTTTCTGTAATGGTGCGAAATGCACCGTTACAAGAGGGTGCTAAGTTTAATTTTGACATTAAAGTACTTGTCACAAAAGAGACTTGACTACCACTGTCGAGCAATGCTCGAACAAAACTTACACGATTATATTTGTCAGCGACCTTTACCTTTACTTAAGGTAACAAAATATTACAGCTATTAACACGTTCCCAGCGGCACTGATTTATCTGTACTTTCCATTACTGCGTTACGAGGCGTTTGAAACCTCGTTCTGAACCAGAGGTTGTAGCGGCACGAGGCTTAATAAACCCCACCGCCCACAGGAGACAAAAATCCTATTTTGGCGCCAAATAAGGCGAATTGTATGGTTTTTGTTCGTGATTATTATTATCAATGAGTTGATTAACCTAAATCTGCCGCCGCCTGTGGGCAGATTATTTAGTTTAGATTCTATAGGTAAAATAAAATGTGGGGTCTTATGTACCCCATACCGCACTGAAAAAGGGCAGTTTTTCATATTGTTTAGTGATGGGAAAAAAAATATCGATTTCATTTAATCGTACTTATGGATGGTTTTTATTGAAACAGGTCAAACAATAATATTTTTTGCAACCGATACATTCTGTGAGAATTTTCTTTGCTTTCTTATCAGCCTCACGACTTGATAAGAAGGTGCGAAGTTTTTCGTAGCATCCTACACATCTCCTCTTCTTTGATCTTTTTCCGAGATGATGTGGATTGTTTGGAGTGGGTTCTGAAAATAAAAAAACTGATTGTGTATATTTGAAGTGGGTTGATTAGGTGTAGCGATTTATTGGAGCAGTTCTATACCTAAGTATGGGATCGTTACGGCCGGTGTGTGTTTTGCTTTTGTCAGTTGACGTGAACGTTTGACAGGATTCAGTCGGGTGATAGTACGCTAACGTCGACTATGTCTATTTGGACTCGCTGCTTTGGCTATAACCTCATGCGCATTGACCAAAGCGTCGGGTTCAAATATACATGTGATGACGTCAGCGGAGCTGTCGCCTTACTGAAGCCCGTCAAAAGTACCGCGTCAATTAATACACATCCTCCGTGCCGCTCTCATACCTAAGGAACTGCCGCAGTTAATCGCTATACCTGTAGTTCAAAAGCCTTATCAATAAAGGACTTATTTGTGTAAATGCATGATAAATAGTTACAAAACTTTATTTAAAATGATCAGTTATTTTAATTGTGAAAATTATTTAATTTAATTTAATTATTTAATGATCAGTTGCATAATTCATTCAATAAACAAACAGACTAATTGATCATCATCAGCCTATTTCAAAAAAGTCACTCAACAAATCACATTCACATTTCCATTAACGAAATAACAAGTAGTTACGATGTCTGAAAATTACCTGTATCGACATCCAAGTCGTTCTTTGTAAAAGCTTCAATAAGTTGTTCTACAAATTGTCTTTTTGGCAATTTATTTGCATCATCATTAATTGAGTTATACACAATCCAGGGCTGTACCAAATATTAGCTCCATTATTACCTTCCTCCACCACTTAATTCCTTTCTTTAATGTTGTATAATAAGAAGACATTTGGTCACTATAGTCAATTCCTTTTTTTGTTTCATTGTACATTATAACACATCCTGGTTTTTTAATGCATTCGTTAGTGCCTCTCTTCTTTTTTCCAGTATCTATTAGTTTCTCGTCGTGATCTTTGCACGTAGTTAACATTAAAACATTTCTTTTATCTACCCATTTCAATACTTTTACGCCCTTTTTGTTCATTTTTCCAATAATCTGGCCCTTCTTTATATTCGCGTTAACAACTTTCTTTGGCAAATATTTTCTTCGTTCCTTTTTAAGTTCCACATACAAAAGTTTTTTGTGATAGGAGTTTTTCTGCTAGAGTCACCGAAGTATAGAAATTATCTACTATCACGATTCTTCCCTGTTCAATTAAATTGTTCATCAATCTTAATACTACTTTTTGACTGTGATCAACTTCTTTCTTCTGATCTGTTTTACCTGTGTAAATCTCTATCTGGTAGGTATAACCTTCAGGGGTGCAAAGCTTGTACAGCTTAACACCATATCGGTGAGATTTGTTTTTTATATATTGACGGAAGCCTAATCGTCCTCTCCAGGGTATCATTGTCTCATCAATTACTACGTATTTGCCGGGGTTTAATATGTTCTGAAAATTGTCAGTTATCATAGAAAGCATATCTCTGATTTTATATAGTTTGTCAGTTTTATCATCATTTGAGACATCACTGACATGCCAGCATTTTAATAAGAGTAAAAATCTGTCTCTTGTCATTGCTGAACTTATAAATTCGTTTCTGTATAAATTGTTTTTGCTCCAATACAAATTTATAAGAGGAACTTTACACAAACCCATTGCCATCACAACTGCCAGAAATGTTTTCATTTCCTGCAAATTAGTATCAGTCCAGTGTTTCATACGTGATTTACGTTTCATATTTAGTTGGTTTGTTCGTAAATAGTTTCGTGCATAATTGTTTGTCTCAGACACCATTTTATTGATCATCTCTTCTGTTACAAATAATTTATATACATCTTCAGATGATTTTACAAACGACAGTATATTGTAGGTATTTTCACCAACAAATTCATCAAAATTTAAGGGACTTTCTGATATGTCTATCCACTCGTCATCATCGTTCTTGTTAATTTGGCGGCTGGGTAATGCCTCTTCTTCGTCTAAAGTATCGTTTTCTGTATTTTCACTTTCATCTGAAGATAATTCCTGTTCTGTTCCTATGCAACCCTCTAATGAAATAATATCAGATTCTTCCGACTCGCTTGAATCATTATCATCATCCCCGCTGTCACTAAAATTTTGGATGTTATTACAATTATTTGCATCAGGTGATTTTAGAATATCCGGTAAATTATCACGAGTTCTGTTTTCAATTATTGTCTCGTTGTCGCTATTCAAATGTTCAATTCTATCATAGTCAATGGAATCAGGCAATTTCAGTACAGTTGACAATTTATTAACCCTGTTTTGTTTTTTTCGATCAATATCCTTCGAAACATCCTCAACAATCACAGTAACCTCTATTGCTTTTTTTTCTTTACAATTGGACAAATTCGATTCATTAGAAACTGCACATTCGGATATAAAATTTTGACTTGATCTCTTTTGTTCCGGTGTTTGTTCATGTAGTAATTTCTTAATATTTTCCTCATTAAGAGATAAATTGCAATCTAGTAAATTGGAGCATGAAATTTCTGATAAAGAACTAGTTCTGCTCTCAGAATTCAAATGAGGAAAGTCCATTGAAAGTGAACAAAAAGAGGAAAGATTTTTGTTTTTTCTTATCTGTTGTCTTGGGGTGGTTGGGACGCTAGAACAGGGAATGGTAACATTTTGTAATACTTGACAGGATTTTCCGGTACTAGGACTCAAATAAATTGTTTCTTCTAGTTCATTGGTTTCAACAGGGTTCCTTTCATCGTTATTTTTGGCATATTCAACTCCTATTTTTGCTTTGTTATATAATTTGCCTGTACTTGTAATAATGAAAAAGTTTACATGTTTATTCGTGATCGGTTTTTGTTTCCGAATATCAGTTTGTTTAATATAATATGTACTGTTCCAACGAGTATCCACGCTTTGTATTAATTTTACCCCAGCAGGAGACTCCATAGCCGCAACAGTGGCTTTACGTAACTCGTCACTAGCAACGCAACTCTGTTTAAACCAAGTCACTATTGTTTTTACTTTAGAAACAATGTTTCTCCACTCAGTACACATCATTGTGCCTTCAGCCGCCAAATTCAAAGTATGGGCAAAACATGTGATATGTTTTCTTCTCCCGAACGCTAATTCGATCGCCTTTACTATATTGGCTGCGCTGTCAGTAACAACAGCCGTTACATTCTCTTGGTCTATTTTCCAGTCTTGGCATACCTCCTTTAAGAGAATTTCAGAAAGATAATCTGATGTATGTCTTTCATCCGATTCGTACACGCCTAAAGTGATTGAGTATAGTTCTATGTCTATTCCGAAATGCGCTGTGATGTCCAAAAAACTTTTCATATTTAAGGGATCCCACCAAATATCCGTTGTTAGGGTTGTCTTCTATAGAGGACAGCATTTTTTTAATTGTTTCTGAAATTACTTCATATTTATCGTCCAGCCAGCGTCTTAGAGTAGTTCTACTCGGGAGTTTATATTGAGGCGCAACTGTTTTCATTAGAGTTCTAAAGCCTTCGTTTTCAACAATTGAGAAAGGCTGATGGTCTTTACAAATTATGAACAATAAACAGCCATTGAGAATGTAAAGTATTCCACATTTATCAGCTTGTAAAGCCTACTTTCCAGTTGAGAATGATGGTAAGCAAATCAAAACCCAATGTCTCTATTCTATCCCAGAATTAGGTGGTGGTGTTGAGCGCAATATAGAACAGCCTCAAAGTAAATCACCTACTCTACTACTACTACTCTACTGAGAAGAGAGCTATGATCGAAAGCGTTCATTTGATGGACGTAAATTTGATGGACCCTGAAAGTCTACCCTCCGGTCTTAGAGCATGTGCAGCAATAGAGAGCCACGTGCAAACGCAACTGCAATGTCCATCTCCAGTTCTTGATACAAGTGTTGCTACTCAAAGTAACGTGCTACAGTTTCGGTGTCCATCTCTAGTACCTTCAACGAGTTTTGCGATTGAGGGCGACGTAGTGCAGGTATCATCTTCAAGCTATTCTCTGGTTTCTGGCATAAGTACTGCTACAAATTGCGCTGTGCAGATGCAATTTGTTGCTCAAAATTGCAATTGAGAGCAATATAGTGCCAATAGGATCTTCAAGTCTATCAATGTTCCCTAGAACGAGTGACAGCAACGTAGTGCAGATACAGTTTCGAAGTAGTTTACCATCCCCTGAAACAAACAAAATACAGATAACAGAGGACAGAGGCACCAGAAGGATAAATCCTAAAAGATGCAAGAAAAAACTAAATTTCGATAAATGTTATCTTGATTATGTGGACGGTGCGGATACATATTATTGATCAAAAAAGCCTTTCCATCAGATAACTCAACAGGTTGGAGTGAAGTGGAAGAGTCATATGACGAGATGGAAGATGGAGATCAACACACTAAAACTGCAAAAAGAAATAAGAACAAGCAAGGCAAACATAAAGACAAAATAAAAACAAAGACAAATCATATCATAAATATAGAAAAAAATAAAACAAAAACATTGATTAAAAAAGAAAATGAAGAAGAAAAGAAAAAAGGGCAACAATATTTAACTAGAAAAGGAAAACCTATTGAGGAAAAAAAAAGAAATCAAACCTATGTACTGGCAAAAATGTAAAAATAACTGTGAAAACATAACCGAAGAACCGCGTACAAATTTATTTAACTATTTTTGGAATCTTAAGTGTATACGCAAAGGTGCAAAGATTGGATTGCTCAATGCTGTCATAAAAAAAGTGCAAAGAACCACATGTCACAAAATAGCGGAGTATCTAGGCGAAGCATCACACATGAATATTTTATTAATGAAGGAGAAGGAAAGAGAAAGGTCTGTCAACGATTTCTGTACCTGTACAGACTGTACCTGCCAGAAAGTTTTAAAAATATTACTAACGTGTACAACATTTGCAAAGAGCACTGCAACGGTGAAAATGTAAAACCTGTCTTTTAAAGTTTTTTCAAAATGGTTTCGTAGTACTTTCAATATTTGCTTCCATATCCCAAAAAAAGGATAAATGTGTTCAGTGTATGGCCACAAAAACCTTCGACGTGAAAATTGAAGAGGAATTAAACAAGTTAAACGAGCACATAAAAGAGAAAGAAGAATCATACAAACGATTTTTATGATCGAAACGGTCTTAACAAGGCAGACAAAAGTGTTATCTGTGCCAGCTTTGACATGCAGAAACTGCTTAATACTTCACACGGTGACAACATAGCCCTTTTAATTTAGCCGAAAAATATCAGTGTATAATTTCACAGTTAATGAAAGTAACACGCAGTAAGGGCTCTGTTGTAATATATGGAATGAAACAGATGCCCATCGTGGAGCAAATGAGATTTCGACATGTTCACTAAATTATATAATGACAGTTTATTCTCAAGCTAAAGTTAAGACCTGTATTCCGATTCCTGCTACGGACAAAACAAAGACCGTTTTATCTATGTTTCGCTGTGCATTATCTAGGTGTGTTAATCTTGAAGTTATTCAGATGAACTACTTGGTACCTGGCCATACATATATGCCTGTAGATAGCATGCATTCTGTAATAGAACGAGCAGTGAAGAAAACAATAGTATGGGCTCTATGCAATGGCCTATTATTGCAGGAATAGCCAGGAAGAACCCCTTTCCTTACAAAGTAACCTCACTTGAAGGAACAAATTTTATGGGATTTGTCACAAATGATACTTTTAAGAAAAACCAAAGAATTAATATTTCACAGATACACTTACAGTTAACATTTACAAAAAAGATAGACAGCCACAAACGTTTAACTAGGCGAGCCAATAATATGGTATGGTGGGATACAATGAACTGAGGGTCAGAAGAGAACTCACACTCGTCTCGTACCTGTTTAGGGTACTTAGGGGTGGGATACATAATGAACACGTGTTAGGACGAGTCAGCATATGTGTTCCGGACAGATACGTGTGGCGGCGCCGCCGGCCGCCGCTGCTGGCTGTCCCGTGCGGGCGCACCAACCTGCAGCGAGAAGCACCGCTGACGCGCGCACTACGTACGAGGGGTGATCAATAAGTAATGATAATCAATATGAAACGGAACTATTAGATTAAAAAAAGTATTTTATTTTTCAACATAGTCTCCTTGCAAGTTAATACATTTAGTGTATCTTTTTTCTAAGCCCATGATTCCCTTAGAAAAAAATTCTTTGTCTTGACCCTCCCAAAATGCCTCTACTGCGGCCATCACTTCACTATTGTCCTCAAATTTGTTGCCCCGGAGGTGTTCTTTGAGCCGAGGAAAGAGGTAGAAGTCACTGGGAGCTAGATCTGGCGAATAGGGAGGGTGTTCGAGCAGTTCGAACCCCGTTTCTTCAATGGCAGCCATCGCAACTGCGGCTTTGTGAGCCGGGGCGTTGTCTTGGTGAAACAGCACTCCAGCGCGCAGTTTACCGCGTCTTTTTGACTTAATAGCTTCTCGCAATCTTCTTATTTGGCCTGCGTAGTAAGATCCTGTTATAGTGGCCCCCTTTTCCAAATATTCCACCATAATAATTCCTTCTGCATCCCAGAAAACAGACGCCATAACCTTTCCCGCTGAACTTAACACTTTGAATTTCTTCGGCGTTAGTGAGGAAGCTCGTTTCCAAGTCATTGATTGTTGTTTGGTTTCGGGATCAAAGTGGTGGATCCAGGTCTCGTCCATGGTCACAAAACGCGACAAAAAAAAAATCTTTATCGGCCTGGAACTTTTGAAGATTCACCCTCGAAATGTCGACTCGTTTCTTTTTTTGCTCGTCGGTTAACATTCTCGGTACCCAACGCGCAGAGACCTTTTTCATATGCATTTTGTTGACAATGATTTTTTGAACGCTGCCATAGGAGATCCCTGTGACCTCAGCTACATGCCTTACGGTCACCCTTCGATCGGCCAACACGATATCTTCCACTTTTTTGACGTTTTCTCCAGTAAGGGACGTGTAAGGGCGTCCCTCGCGATGTTCATCTTCAGTGGAGGTTCTGCCCAGCTTAAATTCCTTTGCCCAGCGTGCGACTGTGGAATATGGAGGAGCAGACTCCCCCAATGTTTCCTCTAAGTCGCTGTGTATGTCTTTGGTAGACATTTTTTTCAGGCACAGGTACTTGATGACAGCTCTTATTTCATTTTTCTCCATTTTGATGTTTTCTCTTCGACAGTTCGTATTCAAATGAATGTATCTCCCGGTAATGGTGTCCTATTTACACATTTTTTTGAAGCTGAAGTAGTGGATATATAAGCAAGCAGAAAAAAAATAATTTGGGTTTTTGTGCATTCTAGAAATACTCGATTATCATTACTTGTTGATCACCCCTCGTACTCTGAATATAATTGCGGATGAAATAGATTTATTTTATTGCTCACTGAGTGAATTCACAATAACAGCATTAAGAATTATTTCTTATAATAAATAAGTAGATGGTATAACACTATTGCATTGGGCTAAACCTGTAATAATAGTTGTTTTTAAAGGAAATAAATAAATAAATATCTGTCTGCGAGTGCCTAGGACAAATTACGGCACAGAGAGTATTTTATATGAAGGGGCCCAAAGCTACAATAAGTTACCTAAAGATATAAAAGAAGCTAAAACATTAAACACATTTAAAAAGTTATTAAAAAGCCACATTTTAAGGGATGTTTCTTTTCTGTTTTAATGAGAAAATACTATTACTAATGAATACCATATCTAAACTATACAGATACTTAACTACGAAACAATTATACAATATATAATTCCTATACTAATACATATTTACACATATTTTTATTAATATATATATATAAGAAATGGATTGTAAATATTATGTATGGAACACTACATAATAGGTCTTTACCTATGAAATTGCCGTTTTGTATGCAATAAGTGAAAGTACTTATTTTTTCAAACTTTTTTATTTCTGTTATTCAAAGTAATCTCTGCATTTTCGCATTAATAGATATTTTAGCCCTGATGAGGCGGTGGTCGCTCCCTGTATAGAAATTATTTAAAACCTGACGTCCTTCACTATATGTTTATGAGAGCAAAATATGTAATCAATTTCATTTCTGTAGAGTCCTCCAGGTGACAACCATGTCCATTTCCTTTGCACTCTTTTCTGGTAGAATGAGCTCATGTGGTACAAATTATTTTGCTGTATAAAGTTGATAAGCTTATTTCCTCTTCCGTTCCTATCCCCATAACCAAATTTACCCATAAATGTTTCAGATGGTTCTTGTTGTTTACCAATCTTGGCGTTAAAATCGCCTATTACGAAAGTATACGTTGTCTTTTCAGCATCGCATGCTTTTTGTACATCTTCATAGAACTGATCAATTTGGTCATCTGTTGCTGCAGATGTTGGTGCATATGCTTGGACTATATTTAGAGTAATTTTCTTTGAAATGCTTATGACAGTTTGTACTACTCTCTCTGATGTAGATCCAGTTGAGATTATTTGGTGTTCTAGGTTTTTGTTAATTAAGATTCCCACTCCATGCTCATGCTTGCCGTCATCTCTCCCTCTATACAGTAGGGTGTGTCCTGATTTCAATTTAATGCATTCTTCACCGGGTTTTCTCACCTCCGATAGTCCGATAACATCCCACTTGATTCCTTTCAACTCATGGTGTAAAATCTCCATTCTATCTTCATGTGCTAACGTATTGGCATTATATACTCCTACATATAATGATGTCTGTTTAGGACTCGTTCTTTGTTTGCGCTGACAGCTATTTGACTCCCAGAGATTCTTCGCACCCCTGGCCAGGCCGGTACCCACGCTGCTGTCCTTGCTGGGTTCTGCCTGTCCCCTGGGAACTCGGGGCCTTGGCTTATTTCGTATCATCATTAGGATTAAAGGGTTTAGGCAGTTAACTCACTCGCTTGCCTAGGACGTCTAAGTGAGTGAAGAGTAATCCATCTAACTAGGATTCTGGGCGCTACCGTTGGCCATATGTGTGGCTCATCCGCTACCAACCCTAAGTGATTCCGCCTCTCCTGTGGGTCACTAAACCAATAAACCAAAAATAATTGCCTTATTGATCCCTCCTTTCTCTCGTTAGTTTGTTGACCCTGTTTTTCCATTGGGGTTGGTACCCAATCTTCGCCAGGGTTGCTCAACGTAACGGGGCCTACCACGGGAAGGTGAGAGTGGAGTTGAGTGTCAGAGGCTAGAGTGTTCCTCTTGATGGTACACTTATGTTGCGCTTAACACTCCTTAGACCCCAGAGATACATGTCCTTGAATAAGAAAAATACCAGAAAAGTAGACCCACTCAAATTGCAAATAAACTCTGAAATATACCGATCAAATCTAAAAGATAAGCTGTCTGAATTAAAACCTGAGACTCTTGATATCGATACCCTTAATCAAAAGCTTAACCAAGGCATGATGGAGGCCGCGCTAAAAGTAGCGAATAAGAATAGCACTCGTCAAGGAAAACTATCAGTGGAGAGTAAAGGATTACTGCAGAAGAGACGCGACATGATAAAGGAGGGTTTAAAGGGATCAGATGAATTCAAACAGCTCTGCGGGGAAACAAGACAGAAAGTAGAAGAAGATATAGAAAAATTCAAAGAAAAGACAGTGGAGGAGGTTATCAGACGATATAAAGGCCCGAAAGTATTTTGTAGAGAACTTCAACCAGGTACCCTACAAATTACGAAATTAAAAGATAAGGAAGGAAACTTGATCGCAGACAGGAAAAAGTTATTGAAGGTTATAGAAGACTACTACACAACACTTTACACCTCATACTCAAATGCACCACCGAACACGAATAAATCTAAAATCACTAATGTCGGGTCAGAAGATATCCCTGACATAACTAAGGCTGAAATAAAACTGGCCCTGTCTGCGATGAAGAATGGTAAAGCAGGAGGAGACGACGAAATCTTGCCTGAACAACTCAAAGAAGGGGATGACACTCTCATAGAATCACTAGCCATACTTTTTAACAAATGCCTTCATCTGGGTAAAATTCCGGAACAATGGAACAGCGCAATGGTCATAATTTTATTTAAAAAAGGATGTAAAGCCGACCTGAACAACTATAGACCAATAAGTTTACTATCACAAACATATAAATTGCTCTCGAAAATACTTACTACAAGAATAACCAGCAAACTTGACTTCTACCAGCCGGAAGAGCAAGCCGGTTTTAGGCGCGGGTACAGTACAGTAGACCATATCCTAACCATGCGAATGCTAATTGAAAAAGCCGCAGAATACCAAATGCCCTTATGGTTTGCGTTCGTTGACTACAAAAAAGCGTTCGATACCGTAGAGGCTTGGGCGGTACAAGGATCGTTAAAAAACGCAAGAGTAGACAACAGATACAATCATCTAATAGCTGAGATCTACAAAAACGCAACTATGAAGGTATCAATTCCGCAATCTACTAGGCCCATAAAGATCAGAAGGGGCGTAAGACAAGGCGATTCCCTGTCTCCGAAACTCTTCACCCTGGTTATCGAGGACCTATTAAAAAACTAAACTGGCAGGATAAGGGCATCTCTATAATGGGTACACGTCTAACAAACTTAAGATATGCAAATGACATCGTCCTATTTGCTGACACGCCACAAGATCTCCAGTGCATGATACAGGAACTACACGTGGTATCCTCTGAAGTAGGTCTAGAGATGAATCTCGATAAGACCAAAGTGATGACCGCAGAATCGGAGGATACGGCGGAAATATTAGTGGATAGGACAGTAATTTAACGAGTTTGCCAGTACGTGTATCTAGGACAGGAAATTACAATGGGAAAAGAGAACCAGGAGAATGAGATTAACCGAAGGATCAGACTGGGGTGGGCAGCCTACTCCAAACTCAATTTTGTATTCAAAATGAACCTGTCAGCACAACAAAAGGCTCAGATCTTTGACCAATGCATACTACCAGTCCTTACATACGGCGCTGAAACTTGGCTTACGACTAAAGCCATTCTGTATAAACTACAAGTAGCGCAAAGGGCAATGGAACGAAAAATGGTGGGTGTGACATTGAGGGACAGAAAGACCAATACGTGGCTTTGTAAACAGAGCAAAGTATCAGACGTTGTAGAAAGGGTAGCAAAGTTGAAGTGGGAGTGGGCTGGTCATGTAGCCAGAAAGCAAAACTCTTGGTGTAAAAGAGTGTTAGAATGGAGACCATGGGACCAGAAAAGACCTCGAGGGCGACCACAGATGAGATGGAAGGATGACATCAAAAAAGTGGCGGGCAGCAACTGGATCCTAATTGCCCAAGACAGAGGAAAGTGGAGAGGATTAAAGGAGGCCTACACCAAATATTTGGTCGATTAAGGCTAAAGAAGTAGAAGAAGATTCAAAGTAATCACCCATACAATCGACGCATCTTTGCCAACGCATTGGCAGTTTATTGATGCTCTTCTTGTAAAAATCAGCTGGACGGGAGGCAACAAACTCTTCAAAGGCATTTTGTACTGCCTCTCGGGAATTGAATTTTTTACCCACTAAAAAGTTGTCTAAATTTTGGAAAAAGTAATAGTCGGTAAGTGCAAGGTCTGGTGTTCACATCTGCAACTAGCTTTGGTCAATCGGTCGTCCCCACTGCTCCTTCACGACACCGCGCGAACCCATACTGCGCAACAGACAGTCTCCAAGCTGCAAGAGCTGGGGTTGGAAGCTCTCCCTCATCCGCCATACTCACCAGACCCTATATACCTACACTCCGCTTGTATAATTATATAACATACTATGTACAGTGACATCAGATAGCTGTTGGAGCAGTGGAAGTTTGGACGTTGTAGGTGATGTTCAGATGAAATAACAGTGTGTTATAGTTAACGTAAAACCCGATTTATTTCCACTGAGATAAGTATTACAGATTTACCTAATCAGCGATTTTATACTACTACGCGTCGTGTGTTTAGTCCAGCGATCGATATTGCACACACGTTATAAAACGTGTATTATTCTATATATATTTTGTAAAGTGTAGAGTCATCAAGTTAAATCATGTACGAGCTCGTACATATTCCAGACCCCGAAAAGAAGTTCTCAGGCAGCAGGATAAAATAGCTGTTACATAGTTACAGTTACAGCTTGAGAACATTGTTAAAAGTAATGAGTAGTAGTTAATAACATATTTGTATAATAACTAAAAATTAAGTATAATTAGGTAATAAAGTTGTGTTATATAAAGTTATATGGGTATATAAAGTTTAGCTACTCAAAATTAAATTGCACGTCATTGTTGGTAAACTCTGTCGATGAACACTGCTTGGCTTGAGTTGCTGGTCTCACTGCTGACGTTCCTGGTTGGGGCCTAGTCTTGGTCCCGCCTTCCGCCACCGAATATGACCGAAAGATATGCTGAATAGGTCTAGACTGATAGAGCTGTAGCTCGATATCCTCATATGGTTGCGTACCTTTCTTAGCGGGGCTAACCTTCACTCGTCTGGCACAGTAACCCTTTTTCTTGACTAGCCAAACTATTAATGCAATAATAGCAGATGCTAGGAGTAAATAGCAAATGGTGAATTGGTGAAGGTCGGTCGCCGTGATTGTCATAGGAAGCTGTTCGTGATTTTCGATGTGTTCAAGTTTTTTCTTGACGATATCGATATCGATGTTCCTGTCTTCAAACAGTTGTAACGGCGGAGTTTTTTGTGTGCTGATTATTGCGTTGAGTGACGTATTCAGGACTGGAATCTAGATGTCAAGTTCTAGTTTCGCTTTGCTGTTGTAGTTGTTGCGAGAGTGTATTAGGAAGGTTTTCGTTTGGAGAAGACATCCTTGCTTTAATACCACAATAGAAGATGTACTGATAACGTGAGTTGTGACGTCTTTATCGCATATGGTGCGTAACGTACATGAGTCACAACATAACGCTATCCAAGTGTTTTGTGTATGTAATTCTATCCAGCGTTCTTCACATATGATATTTCTTGTATTACAGGGCGAACTCGTTTGTTGACTTAATAACTTGCTTTCACAAGGTGCATTGGTATTTTCCATGTGTTGAACCAGTAAGTTTAAGCTACAGATCCAATGCTGGCTGCTGAGTTCGTTGCAGTTCGCTAATCTTTCTTCTGTTATGCTGACGTATGCATTTTTTCCGAAGTTAATTGCCATGTACTTTGACGACACATCAACCGCGACGGTTTCGTTTCGTGTTGTTTTTAAGGGTAAAGGTATGATGTGATATGAGGAGTAGTCTTCGTAACTCGCCAATGGAATGTGCACTTCAAGCAAAAAGTACTCGCCAGTAATTCGAGCCTTTGCGTAAATAAGTTTGTATATATTTTTAATATTTAGTTCTAAGTTATCTATAGGTAATGATAAAGTTTTTGGTAATCTGCTAGAAATCATATTTAGTTGCTTAATGCTTCACTGGAGTAAGCAAATGTACATCAATGTGTCCTTGATATACGTCGGTTAGGGCACTGAATAGCCGGGCACGCCGTCATTGCGGCGGTAAGACCCGTTATGGAGGATTGGCTCGAGAGGCGTCACGGGACCCTCTCATACCGATTGACGCAGGTGATCACTGGGAAGGGATGTTTCGGAGATCACCTGTGTCTAATCCGAAGGGACCAACGCCTGAGTGCCACCACTGCGATGGCCAGACCGTGGACACGGCTCTCCACACGCTGGCAGAGTGCCCGGCGTGGGTTGAGCAGAGGCGAGACCTCGTGGCGGCCATCGGAGTGGGAGTTCTCTCGCTCGATAGCCTGATTGCGGCTATCGTGCGGAGCGAGAGTTCGTGGAACTCTGCCGTCTCCTTCTGCGAGCAAGTTATGCTCGCGAAGGAGACGGCGGAGCGGGACCGGGAGAGGTTTAGAACTCTCCCGGCCCGCCAGGCCCGGGCACGGGCCAGGCAGCGCAGGCGACTCAGGCGCCGGAGGTCGCAGAACGACCTCCGTCCTCCATAAGCGCAGGCCTGGGGGTGACAGGTGAGGCCATCTGTCACCCTAGCAGAAGCAGGCCGGGGTGGCGGCGAGCGCGTTGCGAAGCGCGCTCGCTTCCAGGGAGCACAGGGAACATGTTGTTCCCACACGGGGGGGGGGTCGTCTGTAGATGACCCGAGGTATGTCGGGGCACCAGGGACTTCCTTTCTAGGGTATACCTGGTTCCCCGGCTATTAGTACCCGGCGAAGGCGTGCGGTTTTAGTCGGTTCGAGTCCGACATGCCACCGACAGGTGGTATCCGAGGGGATATCCGCACGGAACAAAAAAAAAAAAAAAAGGGCACTGAATAGCATCTCCTGTATGTTTTTTAAGTTAGTGAAAAGTATATACGCGGTAAATGATGTCGAACCGAAATAGTTTGCTGCCATAGTGGCTTCGATTGCAGTCTCGATTTCTCTGAGTTTTATTTCAGTTTGGTTCATAAAGGTATTAATTAATGTAAATTGACGCTTTATATTCGCCTCGTTCTTCTCTAGTATGTCATTTTCTAGTCGGACAATAGAAGTTTGATTTTTGATTAATTCTAAAAGATTGTCGTTGTTGTGAAGAGTTTGAATATCCTCTTCGTATTTATCGGCGAACTGTTGATCTAAGATTCCAAATAGGCTGTTTGCTATATAGCCCACTCCATTTATGAGTCCTCGCTTGTAACGGTTTGATAAATGTTTATGTGGGCTCAGCAGTAAGGTATTAGAGTGCTTGAGAACTTCTAGTTCATGATAAAGTTGTTGCATCATGGCTTCACAGAATCTTGGATCAAGCCTTTTGCATAGTATATATGTGTCTTCTAAATAGTGTTCCATTTTCGGAACTCCGTCTCAGTACGTGCTAAGGTTAAAGTACAAAAGTAGTTTCCATTCGTCATGCAGTAACTGTATGTCGCCTAAATTATCATAATAGATAGGCCGATTATTTCATAAAAAAATAAATGTGCAATTTTGCATGTTGCTTCCTTCTACGCCACTGCAGAGAGACAAAAGAAGAATTAAAGTTCCAGTCATAATTAAGAAGGTTTTCTTTAGTATGTTACAAGTAGGTGTTGGAGTAGACCATTCTTCATTTGTATCAATCTCCCGGATAGGTAAGGGTGATAATTTCGTAACAGGTCGTTTAATTATCCCCGTCTGCGTCTTCAAACTTGTCACACAGACCTTATTGTCACTCCCGCTATGTACCTCAATAATACGACCCATAGCCCACTTTCCCGGAGGTAAGTTGTTGTCCTTTATCAAAACGACCTTTTGTAAATTAGGTGTTGACCTTTGCCATTTGCTACGAGTCTGTAGCTGTGTAAGATATTCACATGACCACGTTCGCCAGAATTGTTGCCACATATGTTCCGTAAGTCGCCAACGTTGTCTTAAATTAAGTTTTTCGTCGTCTTCATGGCTGGAGATAGGTAACAACATTGTGGGGGTACCTGTTAAGAAGTGACCTGGAGTTAAACAGTTGTAGAATTCATCAGGATCCTCAGTTAAGGAACAAAGTGGTCGCGAGTTCATGCAAGTCTCAATTTTAGCTAGAAGGGTGGATAGTTTTTCATACGTCAATTTTTGTTCTCCCATCACACGACGAAGATAATATTTCATGGAGCGCACTGCCGATTCCCATAGGCCCCCCGCGGTCGGCCAGGCCGGAGCATTGAAGTGCCACTCCACTCCCAGGTTGTTCAGTTCCTGGTAAACTTCAGTTGGCCATTCTATTTTAAATCGCTCGAACTCATTTTGTACTCGTAATATTTTTGCAGCTCCGATAAAGTTGGTGCCGCAGTCTGGATATACATGTGTCGGTGTGCCACGTCTCGCGCACAGCCTTTGCAAAGCCGCAATAAACATTTCCGAACTTAAATCAGATACTAGTTCTATGTGAACGGCTTTAGTGGTCATGCACAAAAATATTGCGATGTATCCCTTTGACGTCTTTACACCTCTACCCTTATTCAGTTTCACATCAATGTGCCCCGTAAAGTCCACTCCGGTATGAGTGAAGGGACGACAGGGAGTAACGTGGTATTTTGGTAGATCAGCCATGATTTGAAAGTTTTCTTGTGTTTTGAATCGGTGACATCGCATGCAGTGACGTAACTGAGTCTTTACTGCTCTGTTGCCACCCACTATACAATAACGTCGGTGGATATAGGTTAGCGTGAGACGGCATATAGGCACCGCCGTGTAAAGTTGCTATGTGAGCCTGTTCGATTAAGAGGGTTGTATATCTCCCATTTCGAGACAGGATAACCGGATTCCTCGTGTCCAAAGCTAAACTGGTCTTATTGAGACGTCCACCGACACGCATGATGCCATCCTTATCCAGGTAGGGGTTTAATTTGTACACAACACTCTTAATTGGTATAGGTCTATTTTTAGACAGTAAGTTTAGTTAGTCGCAATTCCGCGCATATTTTATATACATATGGTTGGAAGTATCAAGTTCGTTTATTGTCAAGTAATGTGATCGGCTATTGTTTGCATCAAATTCTATGTCGGTCATTGCCTTTCTTCGCGTCATAATAATAAAGCGCATAATCCAGGCCAATACCCTTTTCGCGCGGGTCAGAGAGCTATATTTGTTTAGTAAGTTATAAATTAAATTGTCATTGTCACCTTTGTTTCTGATAAAAATTTCTTGTTTTTTATCAATGTTTGCAGTAAATAGACAGTTTGTGTTGAGATTTTGTTTCCCTCTAAAGGTAGTCAAAATAGCTTTCCACCACAGTTTAAAGTTTAAAAGTTTGCTTGGATATAGTCCTTGCGTTGCGCAGTCCGCGGTATTAGATTTCGTATCAATATAAGTCCATTGTGACGCCGGTATTATTTGTTTAATTTTCGCAACTCTATTTGCGACATATCTCTTCCATTTAGTAGTCTCTCCTTGAATCCAAGCCAGGACTATTTTGGAGTCACACCACGCCCATACAGTAATGTTGTGCTCCTTCAAGCTTTCTTGGACCTTTGAGATCAGCTGAGCAAGTAGGAGTGCCCCACATAACTCCAATTTGGGTAAAGTTATTTTTGCGCTAGAGGTGCGACTCTAGTTTTTGCGGTTAATAAGGTTATGCTATACTGTCCCTCCTCATTTTTTGCGCGTAAATATATGACGCATGCGTAAGCTTTCTCGCTTGCGTCGCAAAATCCAAGTAGTTCCACGTTCATTTCGGTACTTCCAATCCACCTATTTATTTTAATAGTTTTCAAAAGTGAGAGTTCAGCTTTTAATTTTAACCAGCTACTTTGTATCTCTTCAGGTAACGGTTCATCCCAACTTATTTTTTCTTTCCATATTTGTTGGAACATAAGCTTAGTAGTTACAGTTACGGGCGAAAACCACCCTAGTGGATCGTAGAGTTGTGATATCTGGGATAGTAGAAATCGTTTAGTGATAGTTTTATCTGAGTTTTCAAAATTCCACGTGAACGTGAACATGTCCGAGTTAGGGTTCCATCCGAGCCCAAGGGCTTTCTTCGTATCTTCATGCTTAAAGTCATACCTGGATTGAGTGATTTGATCTTGATTTAAGTGTTGTAATAACTCCTGAGTATTACTCGACCATTTACGTAGGTTCATACCCTCCTCCTTTAAGCAGCGTGATAAGTTCAGTTTGTAATTGTTTTGCGAGTTCCAAGATATTGTGTCCACTAGTCAAATCGTCAAATTAAAATTTTGGCTGCTGCGGGATATTTGTATTCGGCCTCTATTCTATTCTATCTCTTCTATTCTATCCGGCTCGAAGGACCATAATGTACAGTGACATCAGATAGCTGTTGGAGCAGTGGAAGTTTGGACGTTGTAGGTGATGTTCAGATGAAATAACAGTGTGTTATAGTTAACGTAAAACCGATTTATTTCCACTGAGATAAGTATTACAGATTTACCTAATCAGCGATTTTATACTACTACGCGTTGTGTGTTTAGTCCAGCGATCGATATTGCACACACGTTATAAAACGTGTATTATTCTATATATACTTTATAAAGTGTAGAGTCATCAAATCATGTACGAGCTCGTACATACTATTTACTTATAAAACATATTACATTGCTGGTGTCACTATAATAAGAAATAAAATGTTTGACATCAATCAACAGGTACGTGTCACTAAGTCATAGGCCTAAACAAACATGCATTGTTTTCTCCACCAACATTCTTGAACTCACAGCTTTATAGAAAGTATTTAATCTGCCCGACTCATAAAAAGCTTTTCACAACTACCTTACTAACTAACTACGCTAATTAGGTAATATATATTTTTTTAGTATTGTATTTTTCTCTGCAAGTGATTAATTGTAATCTTTTGAGAAAAATAAATGTCTTTAACCGTAAAGATGCATGTGGTTACATTTAAAAGGTGTAAACCAAATGTGATGTACGTGAAAAACTCGATGTTGCCACAAACTGAAACAATTGAAGTTCAATTGAGCAGCCCCAATAGTGCAATGACGAAATCAAATTTATATTCGACTACTAGCAAACCCGGCGAACTCCGTTTCGCCACCAGATTCGTTGACCTTATCGGAAAAATATATCTCAAAATATGACTGGATTAGATGGTAATGGACCAGATGGCTTCGTTTTATGTAACATTTCGTTTGGTGATTAAAAAAAGAAGATTTTTTTTTTCTTGTTTTATATTTGAAAAGGAAAAATTTTATTTCATTTCACAACAGTAATGAACTCATTTCGATTACAAAAATGAAGTGTTATTTAGTTGAACTTCTCTAAGTAAATGATAGTGAATCCAAAGTAAATACTGAATCGCAGCGTTATACGTGTCCGCAAATTATCCGTTTCATTGAAGTGCTCTTTGGTAAACCACATTTTTTGTTTTTTGGTCTGACGTTAACACAAACAAAGCGGATGGTTTCCCAACTCGTGAACACGCAACGTATAACTGCCCATGTGAAAAACAATGATTTTCTAAATTTATCCCGCAAACACTAAGCGATTGGCCTTGCGACTTGTTAATTGTCATTGCGAACGCAAGTCGAACTGGAAATTGCAATCGTTTGAGGTCAAACGGAAGATCAGTCGGAATCATTGGTATTCGAGGAATACATACATTTTCACCTGCGTACTTTCCGTTAATATTGGTTGCCTTAATCAAATTCGGCATAAGTCTTTTTACCGAAAGTCGAGTACCGTTGCAAAGTCGCGGTGGATTCAAATTACGCAATATCATAATAACTGTACCAACTTTGAGTTGCAAGTTATCTGGTGGAAATCCCGGTAACTCCAGAGAGTTCAAAAACTCCGTTGGATAATTTACTACATCATCGGGATTTGTTATGGAATCAACGGATTTGTATGTCACCAAATCGCCAGCAATTTTTGATTGAATGGTGAAATTCAGTGCGTGTACATCATTATTCTTTGCGGCAAGAATTGCTCGTTGACTTAACCAAGCATAATTCTGATAATTCTCACTAATTTTTGGGAAAACATTTTCAATAAGAGCTAATTGAGAGTCTACAAATCGGCAAAAGTCGTTGGTAAGAGTAATTAATCCAGATGTCGCATCAACTGGGACTTTTCCATTTCCAACAGCTAACAATTGTTTGGAAAATTGTGCAGCACTTTGATCATTTTGAAGTTGAACTCTCATATTAGTGGTTAGCGATAATGTTTTTACGTTATTCCATAAAGGTGATGCCTTCAGGCAAGCATTCAATTCATCTGCAGGCGTCTCTCTCGTCTCTCACGGGGAATTACTGGCAACGTCTGCCTGAAATCGCCTGCCAACAATATCATCAAGCCGCCAAAGATGTTGTTATTTCGCCGAAGATCCTTCAGTGTGAAGTTAAGTGCTTCAAGTGATTTCTTATGTGCCATTGTGCACTCATCCCAAACAATGAGCTTGCATTGCATCAACAATTTTCCCATTGCACTGGATCGGGAAATATTGCATGTTGGAGTATCAATTGTGTTTAAATTGAGTGGCAACTTAAGCGCAGAATGTGCAGTACGACCGCCATCTAGAAGAGTCGCCGCAATTCCAGATGATGCTAACGCCAAAGCTATATCACATCTTGATCGAATAGTGGCCAAAATCAATGAAATGACAAATGTTTTCCCTGTTCCTCCAGGTGCGTCCAGGAAGAATAGACCACCAGTATTATTGTCCACCGCTTGCATTAATGTTTCGTATACTTGTTTTTGCTGTTCATTCAGCAACGGCACATTATTTCGAACGAATTCCTGCAATGTATCAACATTGTATTGCAGCTCTCGATTTAATTCTTGGTTGAATGCATCGTGCATCGATCGATTTGGCGCAATCATTCCTACTTCAATCAGTAGCTTGTTTGCAATAGTCAAGCATTGATCCTCAATCAGAATCAATCCTTCATTGTAGATTTCATCGGTTATTTGGATGTCAGGATTATTCGTTTGAATGCGCAAGCGATGCAAGATATCTTCACATATGTCGTCTTTGTATTTGTTCCACAACTAAATTGGTTGTGAAGGAAAACATGTGGTGATGATAATTGCGAACAGCGTTCGTATTTGGTACGCATTTGATGAAACAACTGAATCCGCAAGTGTTAAATCCCAATGAGAATCGTTCTCCAGCAAACCCAATAGTTGACATGCTTCTCGATATGTTTGGCATTGGTGGCCATTCACAGTTTTCAAATGCGCAAATGATTTTGGTCCACATACATTTACCAACAGCAGTCGCAAATAAAAACATTCATCATTTTTAGGATGAACAGTATACATGCGACCTAGTGCATCAGTGGAACACACCTGTTTGCGACGTTGGAATTTCTTTGTTGATTGATTCCAAGTGTAATACTTGGGCATTTCAACGTACATCAGCGTCGCTGCAAATGGATCTGCTTCACACATTGCAAAGAAGCTAGTCAATGTTGTCGATGGTGGTCTCTCAGCTCGTTGTGCCGCATTAGCCTCAGTGAAGTAAACTCTTTGGCCATTTTCCAAATGCACTGCTAAATATACAACTGTGGGATATCTTTCATGAATTTGAAATGACAATAATCGCCACATTGCTTCATTAGTACTAACGTATCTGCCCATTTGGAAGTTGCTGATTTCATCATTCGCATTTTCCAACGCAATACCAAACACAGCCATGTCGCTGCCTTTTGTGACGTACTTGCACAAATATTTGATTGATTTGGCCGAATGACAACTCTCAACGTTTGCATGTGTTTCGAAAATTCGTGATAGCAGCGGGCAATATGGTACAATGAATTCATTTCCGATCTCGATCTCTTGATTTTGAACTTTAACTTTGATAGTTCGACCATTATCTTCTTTTGAACGCCGACGATAAACTGGATATCCATCGTTCCCTGTGACTGTTTCAGCAACTAACGGTCGCGGATATCGTTTTGTGCACTTTCCATCAGCCATGCAAGGCGATAATGGATTTAATGCACCGCACGGTCCATGCACCATCTGTGTCGTCACAATGTCGTGTAGATGGGGATCAGTGACTGGATCAGGAATTTCAGCTGATATGATGTCATCCACTTCATTTGAATGTAATTTGTTCAGCAACCAAATTAGGATATGAGCATGCGGTAGTCCACGCTTCTGCCATTCCACCGAGTACATATAACAACGTGTGTCACCAAAAACTCGATACTTAGTAAGCACATCCATCATAACCTTGAGTTTTTGCTGAAATACTCTGGCGATTATGTCATGGCGATCTTGCGGTTTTTGGCCCGGTTCCAACTCACGTTAAATTTCCGTCCACTTCGGATTGCATGTGAACGTAATAAATAAATCCGAAGTTCCATAATTTCGCACGTACGTCATAGCGTCTTGAGCGTATTCGTGCATGTGGCGTGGGCTTCCGATATAAGATGATGGGAGAATCGTCAGACGTCCAATATTCTGAACATCACCATCTGAATGAATAGCATCACGCAAGTGTATATAGTCCTCAGATCGTAGCTTTGCCTGATTGAATCGGATGAACGCTAAACGTTCGGTCTCGACTTTGACATACATGTCGACAGCGAATTGCTGGAATAGCCGACGGCACTTCAGAATTACATTCTCCTCATGTGTACGAATCATCATACGATGCGCATAGTAATTCATTGCGCTTAGATTTTTGTTCGTTGATACGCCTGAAAATGCAAAATTAAATGAATTGTTAATGGAAACCAATAATAGCAATAATTAGTGTGTGAATATTGTACCTGTAATTGGATCGACCATCTTCAACGTGATGGCGTATCCGTCTTGCCCTTGCCAATAAATGATTGGATATTGTAACGCATCGTACAAACGATGTGTCTCGTTTACACGATGCATGATATTGCTTCTTCGCTGAACGACAATGTCTCGCGATTTAGTTGTATCGCCAACAATAATTGCAGCAATATCATTAACGGTGGGTGCATTGAATCTTCGCACATGTTCACCTGTTGGGGTACAATCCGCTCTTATGAAAAATTTGTGCGTATCCGATGGCATTCGTTCCAATGCTGTTTTGAACATATTAACCACAGCATTATTAGCGTGAAAAAATGCTTGCAACTGTTCAATAATTCGTCTCTTTAACTGTTGTGTTCCCTGTATATTGCACCGCACATTCAGCTGATCCACCATCGACGAAATGAAATATATTTGCAGAAATTGATGCGGTTCATCTGGTGTTGGCACCATTGAACCATGCAAATGATATATTTCTCCTTGTATCTGTAATTGCAAACAATCATTTGTTTAAGAATACGGTGTAACTTCTGATCGTGTGATGGTGTAGTGTGTGGTGTATATGTAGTTGTTATGTGTTGCAATTCATTGTGTTGGTGTGAGTGATTGGTTGTGTGTGTTGTATCTTTTACCTTGCAAGTCGGCATGAAGCCGCCTTCTCGAATGATATTAGCTCCAAAGGAAGTCATGCGAAAGCAGTTATTGTATTCAAGGATGTGTTGAAGAAAATGGCTGGAATCGGGATCACTTCACTATCAATACAAAAACGATTATACATTAGGACAGTAGCAATAATTTTAGAATCTTATATAAATCTCATATGAAACAGTAGGAAGAGATCGCAGTTTACTACAATCTATATTTATTTAATTGACTAAGTTTAAGTTGGAGCTATGTGAGTGTGTGTGATAGTTTGTGAGCCTGTGTGTGTGTTTGTGTTTACATGTCTAAGTATGTGTATTTGTCTGTCTGTCAGTTTTCATTCTTATTTTAAGATTTGTAGCAATTGTTCGGTTTCTTTATGGTTAAGACAGCTCATGATTTTACTGATTTTCAGTTTAGCGTCCCGTATTGTATCCTGTTTGATATTATATCTATTGACAACCTTATTGTAAATAAATGGAAACATGAACTTTTGAAAGCGGTTTGCGAAGGATGATTTGTTTCTAGGAACAGGGACTTTGAAAATTCTTTGCTTAAGCATTTTATTGTAATCAGGGGCGTTTAACACGTTTTTATGTGTGGAAATGATGGCTTGAAATATGTATAATCGTCTTATATTCAATACTTGGGCTTCTTTGTAGAGTTCAGTGGTTGGGAATCTCAACGGTTTATTCAACATAACTTTTGAAATTGATCTCTGAGCCCTTTCTAAGATAATCAAGTGTGTTGCAGCTGAGCCTCCCCAGATATTTAAACAGTAAGTCAGGATGGATTGACACAATGATTTATATATCGTTTTTAATAAATGTAAATCAGCAACATCTCTAAGTTGTCTTACAACGTAAATTAGTTTCCTTGCTTTAGCTGCAGTTGCCACGATGTGGTCTTTGTAAGAGAGTTTATCATCTAGAATTACTCCTAGATATTTAATGCTTCGTGACCTTTGTATTTTATTACAATTACAAATAGTCTGATCAAAATTACATGTGTGAATTGGAATGTTTGGGCTTAAGGCTGGAGAAGAAGCTGCAGTTTTGTGGTAGCATAAATATTTGGTTTTGCTAGTATTTAAAGTTAATAAATTATTGTGAAGCCATTTAGCTATAATCGCCATACCTTGTTCAGCCGTGGCAAAACAGTTGGCCCAAGTGGAATCATGAAATATTATTGCTGTGTCATCCACGTAGCAGATCATCTTTGCATTTCTAAGTGGTAAGGTCGTCAGGTTATTTATATACAGAAGAAATAGAGTCGGGCCTAACACACTCCCTTGAGGAACTCCAAAAGAAGTTTCCTGCAAGGTACTGTGCAAGGAGTCCACCTTTAAACATTGTTTCCTTTCCGTCAAGTAACTTCGGAACCAGTTTAGCGCGGTTCCCCTTATTCCAATGCCTTCCAATCTCTTGAGTAAGATTGGAATTGCAACAGTATCAAAGGCCTTTGCGAGATCTAAGAAGATTCCGATACACGCAAGGCCATTGTCTAGATTTGTAACAATTTCATTTGTCAATAAATTTACGGCGTCTTCAGTGGACCTTCCTTTCCAAAAGCCGAACTGACTGTCTGATAAAATATTGTTCTTCTCAATGTACTTAACTACACGTTTGTTGACTACTCTTTCTAGTATCTTAGCAAAGACAGAGAGCAAGGAAATTGGTCTATAATTGTTAGCCAAATTGGTTTCTCCCCCTTTATGTATAGGTACAACAACAGCAGTCTTCCATTCTTGAGGAACGATTCCGGTTGATAAACTTTGGTTAATAATATAGGTTAGCGGTTCCACAATATGATTCTTGACTTTTTTTATGAGTCGGTTAGTAACTCCATCTAGTCCTGGGGCACTGTCATTCTTTAGATTCATAATTATGTGTTCTATTTCTGTATTATCAGTTGGTTCGAAGAAGAATGAGTTTGGAGGAGATGGCGGAGTGTCGATATTTTGTGCCAAAGCTGATTGTGTTGTATTTAGATTGTTTAAGATATCGTTAGCGTATTTTTGTCCTACCGATGTAAAATATTCATTACAAAGATTTAAGGAGTCTTGCGGACAGGAATTTAAAAGTATTAGATCTGACGCAGGTGATTTCGTTACTACTTTTCTATGCGAGATTTTATTAATAGTCTGCCAGAGTTGTCGTGGTTGATTTTACGAGTTTTTCAGCAATGTACATTCATCATCATCATCATCAACAGCCTATACTAGTCCACTGCTGGACATAGGCCTCTCCTTAGAAAGGAGGTTTTGGCCTACTATACCACGCTGGCCAGACGGGTTGGTATAGGGTTTGTTTCAAGTTTTCCCTCTCTTTGCAGTGCTGTTGTCCTGCTTAGTTTGCTCCCTTAGTCGGCTCTTACGACACCCACGGGATGGATTGGGGTGGTGACAATTTGTATTCTTAATCCGTCACCACACGGACTTCATATTCATTTCGTATTTTACGAATTAGAGAGTTATAAAAATTTCTATACCTGAGATATATCAGTGATTTCACTTCGTTTCTTGGCATTTGTTTAGCCTCGAGGTGTAATTTATCACGAACACGTGAGCATCTTAGCAACCCTTCCGTCATCCACGGCTTAAGAATTATCTTTGAGCGACTTATTCTAATTAATTTAGTGTTGTCTTTGATTATATTGTTTATAATATTCATAAAATGTTCTGTTTGGTCAGCCACATTCTGTATCTTCATCATCTTAGACCAATCTACATTGCTGAGCTTTTCTGAAATGGAGTCGTAGTTAAGGAGGCATTTATACCTTGGAGGTGATGTTGATGTTGTGGCCGTTGCTGTTAGACCAGTAATGACAAGGTCGTGGTCAGATATTGCTGAAGAGCAGACTATAGTCTCCACATCCACCTCTCCCTTATAGAATACGTGATCAAGGCAGGAATCATATCGAGTAGGCTTATTAATAGCTGGCACTAGGCCTAGTTCAGCCATAGTGCAAAAGTATGTTGTGGTACCGTCTAAATAGGATATATTTATATTGATATCGCCAGTAAAAATGGTGCATGGCTTTTTATTTAAAATGTGGCTAGCATTTTGCAAAGAGTTAACAAAACGATCTATATTTTTAAATGATGGCGATCTGTAGATTCCTAACACAGTTATAATGTCTGGGACATATATAGCTAGACAGTTTGCGTCATCAATATCTGGTTCATATACACTCGGCGACCAAATATCCCTTACATATGCTACTACTCCGCCTGACCTGTTAATATATTTTGTAGTATGGAAGCCTCTATAACCCTGAATAGGTGGTAACGTGAAACTTTCATTTATCCAACACTCAGTTAGGACAATAAAATCAAGATCGATGTTGAGCCTTTTCATAACTAACAGTAAGCTATCAAAGTTGCGGTTAATGCTTCGAATATTCAAAGTAAGTATTTTTATCATATGTCTCTGCAGAATATTATGACAGTCTTCTGGTGCACTTATAGAATGACGTTTTATATTATACGCATTATCAATAAATTGCATCATATCAAGTGTAGTCATTGCGTTTGGGTAATATTATTATTTGTGATGTTTTAGGCACAAAAACTCATAGACTAAGTTTTTGTAAATGTCATTATATAGGATAATATGAATTGTGATATGATCTATATGTGTTTTATTGAATTTGTGTTTTGTGATGTATAATCGGCCCAGATGTATTGAGTTATTGAGTTGTGTGTTTGTTTTGGTAACTTTGTTTGAAGCGTTGTCAAGTCAGTGATGTTTATTAAAATGTTAAATATTTGTGAGCTCCAATTAGTTATATGTGCAAGTAATGTAAAGAAAGAGCAAAATAAAATTTGAATTAAAAAGTATAAAAACATAAAAACAAAAGGAAAATAAAGTGAATTAAAACTACTCGTTACTTGTTGCTTGGGGTAAACCAAGATACTTGTCCAGGTCTTCAGTCGTCTGTATGCGTATGGCAGGGTGTCTATTATCATTATTATTTTCTCCTTTTTTAATGAAAATTGTTCCATTTCGTAACCAACAGAATCGAAACCCATTGTTTTGAGCCCTCTCCCTGCTGGCACGAAATAACAGTCTCTTTTCCTTTGTGACTCTTTCATTAATATATATTTTAGAGGTTAAACCATTCACGATGTTATCTGAGGTGAGGTTTTTCCGAGATCTGGCTGCCTTAATTAGTTCATCTCGCTTTGCCTTCCTGGTTAATTTGACGACAATGGGGCGATGCCGTATAGTTTCTTTTTCTAACTTCTGCTTAGGGCCCACTCTGGATATATTATCTATGTCAGTTTCGTGTAATTCTACACTTATTTTGTTTGATAATGTTAATAACACATGTAGAAGATTTTCATTATTTACCTCAGGGACACCACAAACCTCTATTTCATTTTTTAGTGTATTTTCCTCTAAGGAGCTGACCGTTGAATGTAACTGGGATAACGTTATTTTAAGCTGCCTATCTCTTTGTCTTTGGCTTCTATTTTTCTTTGAAAATCTAAGTAATTCTGTAAAGGACATGGCCAGTTTCTGCCTAGTTTTTTGGTAGCATGTACATTAATAACAGCCTTATGATAAGAAAATAAAAAGAAATATATAAATTATGGCATCCTTCATATTTCTGTCTAACTTCCGAGTGTTAACACAAGATTAAAGAGTTTTTTTTTTATTTCCTATACATTCAGGTTCTGCGCCATTTTGAGAAAACGTGTTTCCAGTAAAAGTAATGTTTACGTATAAAACCAGCGTAAATATGTAAAA